CCTGGAGGACCAGCAATTCTGCACATTTTCCATGTCTTCTTAACCAAACACACCTAACTCGGATCATCAGCTCTTTAGCGGAGACTGAAAGACCTGTAATGGGTGTAACAGACAAAGGAGACGTGCAAAACAGGCAGTGTTGGTGGTCCTCATGGTTGAGAAACTCAATCCTGCCAAAACTCAATCCTGAAGGGCCGGTGTCCTCCAAAGTTTAGTTTAGTTCCAACCCTGATCAGACACACCTGGGCTAGCTAATCAAGCTCTTCTAGACTTTCTAGAAACATCTGTGCAGGTGTGTTGAGGCAAGTTGGAGCTAAAATCTGCAAAACATCGGCACTACAGGACTGAGTTTGAGCATTCTTGGTAGAAAGGTTTGATAGCAGAATGTGAAACTTTCAAGCTTTACAGTGCACTTGATTGTATAGTTTAGTATTTTATAAACTGCAAGCACTAATGTTTAAAGTGTTAATGATAACAGTATGCTCTTTTTGTGCCAGAACAAACTTCAACTATGAAAACTGTGAAATACCAAGATTCTTTTGTCATTTTGAGTTTTTATTTTGCCATGCACTTCCAACCTTCCATAGCCAAAAACGATATGTAGAGCAGAACGCCAATTTGCTTTCTGAAAACCGTTTAAAACTCTTCTAATAAGTGTATTAACGTTTGTTATTTTCTATCGGCCAAAAGGACAGGTGGTTATGAGGTACTTGATATGACTTACAGTTGTGGAGGAACCTGAAAAGTAAGGCTGTGTTGGACTGAACGGCACTCAAAAACAGGGTTTGCTTTATGAATGTACTTGAGCGTTAAAGCATGTTGGCGCAGGAGAACGTCCCTCCTGGAAAACAGTATGGTAGAAGCCGTTGAAGTATGTTAATGTTTTATGTTTTAGTCTTAATTTAGTGATGCCAAAGTTAACAATCGCAACTATGCAAAAGGAGAATAGCCTCTCTCATGTTCACATCGCTTAACATCACAGAAAGCACTTTACCATTCGTCACTACTCTTATTTGGTCGCATAGAAGCAGATCCGATGGACCTCGGTGCCCCTTCCTCCTCTTTCCCAGGCTGGGTTTAACAGTGTTGTGTGGAATTTCTGGGTGTGGAGGTTCTGGTCTGGGTTGGCTTGAGACCGCTGAATGTTTTTGCTGTATGGGTGGGTGCCGCTGCTGTCGTCCCCGCAATGCCTTCGTTTCTTTCATGCCCACCCCAGAGCTCCAGCGACCGCCGGCCACCCTCCCACCCAACACTTATCACAGCATGTAGAAATAAAGTGAATTGAAAATGCAACGCAACAGGTCAGTTAGCATATAAAACATTACGGTGGAAGGGTACACAGCCAAGAGAGCGCTTTGAGTGAGATGTATAGGAAAACATGTGTATATTGTATATTTAGAAATTTAAAGAAATGGAAATCCTGATAAACACCCGAGTTTAAAACGACATGAAAATTTAATTGCTTGAATGTGAAAATAAAAGGAAAAGAACTTGGTTTCTAATATTGATTATTTAAAAAGAGAAAAAAGTTATATATATAGAGAGAGATAAATATTCTCAGAGGTGTCAAGCAAAGCCCCAAACAAGAGTTTATTCCCCCTGCAATTAGACTGATGAATGATATCCCTCTTTATATGGATGTTTCCATCATCCTCTCTTTGCTTGCTGCTCTTCTTGCTTTCAAAAGTATGAATTACCATATTCACTAGTGCCAGTACTCATGTTCTGTTATCTGTGAACCAGCAGTGAACTTTCATCCTCTGAAACATAAATGCCATGGGTTTTCTTTCAGTTTCATTCAAAATAAATCAATAAATCGCCATCATGCCTGTTACTGAATGGCTTCAAAAACATTTGGTAACACTTTATAATAACTACACACTATAAATCATTTATTAAGCATTAGCAAATAGTGAATTCATCATCTGTTAAGCATTAACTGTACATTAATAAACGTTAGTAAGCAGTTTATAACTGCAGCTACAAATGCTCTATTCTTGACTTATAAGCACATATATAATGTGGTTAATAATTGTATTTTCATACTTAGTTAATGATTTATATTTCATTACTAAATTAAGTATCGCATTATTTACAAACTGTTTGTATTTAAGAGTAGTTGAGGGTTTTTAGGATCATTCAGAATGAGTTAGTAAATGATTAATAAACTATTGAAATCAACATTTATATATCTTATTATTCAGGCATATACTAATAGTTAACTAATATGTTAATAAATGTTTTATTAACTCAACTTCATGCAGTTTTGTGACCTAATCTCAAGTGAGGGCTATTCATGCTTTATAAATGCCTTATAAATGACTATTAAAGGCTTAGTAGCAAATGACGATAATCTGTGCAATCTTTCTAAAAAGTAAAATTACTGTAAAGTTTAAACATTGCTGAATAACAGGAGTGTCAAAATATGACATAAAACCATAATATAATAATTTAACATTATAATAAGATGCGATGTTTAAACTCTACAGTGATTTTATTTTAGATCAGGTTGCACAGATTTACTTTTCTTTTGAAGTACAGTTTCATTTGTGTATGTTTAACTGAATAGGAATGAATAATGTCATTTTTCCTGTTTAGAATTTAACTGAGCCTTTATTTGTCATTTATAAAGGATTTATAAAGCATAAATAATCCTCACTTTAGATTAGGTCACAAAACTGCATGAAGTTGAGTTAATAAAGCATTTATTAGCATACATAGTAACCATTAATATATGCCTGAATAACAAGACATATAAATGTTGATTTCAATAGTTAATTAATCATTTACTAACTCATTCTGAATGATCCTGAAAACCCTCAACTACTCTTAAATACAAACAGTTTGTAAATAATTTGATACTTAATTTAGTAATGAAAAATAAATCATTAACCAAGTATGAAAATACAATTATTAAACACATTATATAGGTGCTTATAAGTCAAGAATAGAGCATTTGTAGCTGCAGTTATAAACTGCTTACTAACGTTTATTAATGTAGAGTTAATGCTTAACAAATAATGAATTCACTAGATGCTAATGCATAATGAATTATTTATAGTGTGTAGTTATTATAAAGTGTTAGTAAACATTTTCCAGCAAAAGGAATTCCAGTTCAGAATATCACTGCTGTCTGTATGATCTATTATCTCCGAATGCTATTTTGGCACACTTCTGATACATGCATAGCCTTGCAGTTTTCATGAAGTTGCCAGTCTGACAAAAACAAACAAAAAAAACCCCAAAAAATACTGAGCCAACGTGTAGCCAATCCTATAGATTTGGGCTACATGGTCATTGACCCTGGCTAATTCATATCACTTGCCAATCATTTAATCACAGTCAATTCTCTAATGGAATCACTGGACCAGAGGAACAGCCATAGACTCAAAATGTGATCTTTTTGACATCGAGTCTACCCTCTCATGCAGGGCCATGCTGTATTTTTCAAAGGATACAAGGTATACCCTGATATAAGAGAGTAGATTCTTTGAAAGCTCTTATCATCCTTGTTTTAATGACCCTTTTGATAAGTGTGAAAACAACAGGATGAATAATAATCTAGAAATGTGGTACATCTCTGTACAGTGCATTTACCAGTATTCTTTTTGATGGTCGTCTTGTTTTTCCTGCTTCAACATCACCATAGCAATCCATGTATAACCTGTATTAAAATGTACAGATTGTGAAAAACTGAATGTTGGAGATTACAAAAATGATGGCTATTCGTAACAAAAACACTTACAAGTGAATTAAGATGCAAAAATGAAACAAAAACAAAAAAAAACGTAAGGGGACAAATGTAATGTTGTGTTTGTAATTACTCCTTTTGTTGGCAGAGGGCTACTGGACAAAGAAATCAACTGTAATAAAGTAATTTTAGTATATTTTCATTGTCGTTTGTATGTTTTAATACATGTTTGTCCATTGTCATTTGACGATTGATGTTGACGTTAATAATTCTTCTCAACATTCAGAATTCAGATGCTGAACATTTGACATGGGGCTCATTCATACCCATCCACCCTGCCGTTTTTCCCAGGATTCTCCCGTATTTTACAGTTCTATCCCGCTATCATCCCGTAAAGGTTTTTTCCCGTATTTCTCCCGTATTTGCAGTCTTTCTTTGAACAGCCGATAAGCAACCCATACCGCCGAACCACCAGGGGTCGCCCCTTGCTCTAAAACGTGAGCCTTAGTTTAGGAATGAAAACTCTGATAAATAAATATTTAAAACGGCGCGATTCCATCTCCTTTTGATTACAGGTGCCGTCGCCCATCCTATACAATCCTCAAAACAGTCATATAATAGTGCATGACTGTCAGCTGACGCGCTCCATAGTGATGAATAGAGGCTGTTTGCTAAACGGATTCTGTACTCGCGATTTGAAGCGGAGAGAAAGACTGGCTTTTGGGTGCGTTTAAACACATAATTAATAATAATAACATATAAACATGTCGATCTTGGTGGGTTTTTTTCCCCAAACACAACTATTTTCATCTTAAATGAGCATAAAAAGTTAGAAAAGCAGTCGAATGGTTTCATTATAACGTTAGATGTGTGCATTTTTAAAGTGACACCTCTTATTTAATGTAATAAAAAAAAATCTTAATGAATATAATAATATTAATATAATAATAATAATAAATAAGAGATTCATTGGTTGCTCTTTAATCAGAATGTGTAAGTTATACAGTGGAGAAACGGATATTGAGATTGATAGCATAATTCTATTTCATTATAATAGCTATTAATTTTAATACCCTGAACTGTTTGCTAATGTATTTGCTGTTAATGTAAATATTTATTTTTCTTCAGTTAATGTTCATTTTAAAACATATTACTGACCATTTAACTGTTTATTTACAATGAAACAGCTCCAAATGAGCATATTTAGTAATTTGGGGATTATTTTAAAGGAGAGGGGGTGGGGGGAATCTCTTATTATGGTGGGCATATCTCTTATTTTCACATCCCAATGTTGACAGGTATGGGCTCATTATTGTTCAATCATGTTTACTGAGAGGAAAAGGTCTTTTCCAGTTGGTTCCAAGTGATTAGTTTGTGCAAAGACTATAGGATCGCTAAATATAGCATCCAGGGGTGTCCAAACTTAGCTCAGGAGGGCCAGTGTCCTCAAAGTTCAGTTCCAACCCCAATCAGACACACCTGCGTTAACTAATCATAAAATACTAGGCTTTCTAGAAACATCCTTGCAGGTCTGTTAAGGCAAGTTGGACTTAAAATCTTTAGGTGTCGGCTTAATTAAGCCCCTTGCTATTCAGTACATGTCCTTTCTGTGAATCATTATTTCTTGTTGTCTTCTTTTTAATCTATAACGTTGGCTGCCTTGAGTATGTTCTGTGCATTATGGAAGGATGTTTGGCATTAGCAGAACACTACACTACATGCTTCTCTCACTTAGCGGGTGTAGGATCTGTTCCAAGTAAAAACCTCCTGGTCCTCTTCGAAGGTATCCGAGGGAGTTGAGACCTGTCGTCTTCGTGAGCCTAAGATTGGTCTTTCTTTGCGGAGCAAGGTTGACCTCCTCCTCTTAGAAAAGACTGCACTCGCGCTATGCTTCAGGCCCTGGCTGCCAAAGTGTGCAGCAACATCTTTCAACCCTTTCTTCTCCTCCACCCTGAAGAAATCAGCAACTATTCTGAAGTATTCCAACACCCCAGAGTGACTCCAGGATGTAGCGCCTCCACGTCCATCCTCATGCATGAAGCTGCAGTGGCCTCCCTGTTCCGTTAAGGCCAGCAGGAAGTAAGGGCTGTTGTGAAACAGTGCCTCCGGTATAGTGGAGACGGGTGGAAGAAGAGGATCATCTTGGCTACACAAGCATAGCACTGGCACTGCCACTTCGTCCGCGTCTCGCAAAGGCTCATTCTTTTCCCAGTAACAGGTCCAGTCAGGCTTCTGAGAGGATCTTGAATAGTCCACAGAGTCTGACGATCTGTGATCCGGCTGCTTGGTAGCACAGAACATGAGCTCTTCCATGTCTCTCAGGGAGCTGCAGCGTAGAATTTTTGCTACATCCATTACAGAGCTCAAAGCAGTGGCGTATCTGTGAAAGAGGTCAAATGTTTACAATCAAAGACTTCGAATCTTAATTGCCCTTTTCATATAATTCTCAGTTCGTTCAATTCTCGTACTCCTACTTTAACAAGATTCAGTTCACCCCAAACTTGGGGTGCTTTCACACCTGTGAATCGATTCAGTTGTTTAGAAACAGAGATTACAAATGTTACATTGTTGCTCTTTGCTCTTGGAGCGGTTCGCTTTCACACTGCAAAGTTTCTAATCGGACCAAAAGAGCTAAAACAAGTCACGTGTGAGTAAACTCTCCTCACATTGGTCAGAGTGTCAGGGTTTATTTTGCAGCGTCCCGCTCAGCTGTCAGGAGAGGTGGTGGTTTGGTGGTGATTGACAGGGTGCACGCGCGCGATTCTGAGGAGAGATGCGGTGGGGAGGGGTGAGAAGGGTGCGCGACGATGCCTATTTGAGGACTGGAAGGGAGACGTGAGATTACTGGGAGATCATCACTCGTTTGCGGGCATCCGGAGACTCGCGAAACTTCCCCGCCCTACTCATAATTCTCTCTTCATATAGCCGTATGCCTATTACATATCCATAAAACACAGTGATATAACCGTGCTCGGATCGGATCGCTTTCTCACTGCAATCGAACCGCTCCAAGGTTTGTTTCAATCGAGCCGAGACTACCTCATTCTCGGAGCGAGTACTTTGGCGCGGAATAGATCGCGATTGCCCTGTTCACATATGACAAATGAACCGCTCTAACTGGGCAAACGAGATACATTCCGAAACAAAAGTGTAGGTGTGAAAGCACCCTCAAATGATTTACCCTCATTTCGCTACAAGCCCCATACTTCCTTCAGATTGCATCTCTAAAAAAGCTACAATGTATAAACTAACAACAGTTTACTTTTGCTTTTTAGCATTTGTTGCCAATTTCAAAAGGGAACTCAAGGCTACAAGGTTGTAGTGTGGAGCATCATATGAAAATGGGGTTGAATTGATCCTGTCACCTTCAAAATATCCATGAAGGACTATCAAAATTAGGACTTTCGTGCAAGTTAAATTGACGATTGCGTGTCTAACAACATGCGATGTCTCTCTAAGGGCAAGTGGAGCCAATTTTACTACCTTTTAACATACAGTCGGACACAGGTTGCATTAACTACTTTGATACATTCATACACTTCTATAAATAATTTGATTGAGTGATATAATAAACCAGTCATCGTACAGCAGTCCAAAATCCTCATGCCGTCTACATGTACAGTATGTGTGCGATCCGCTACCTGTTTATCTGAAGCTTGCGGTAGATGAGGTCTGTCCAGTGGTACAACCATGGAGGCTTGTTTTCAAACCACAGTTGTCCATGAAAAACAGGAGATATGCAAGCAGCTGCCGTAAGGTAGGATGAAGAGCCGCATTCCCCAAGATAGGACAGCAGCAACCCAGATCCTGAGCCCTCGCTTACTGCAAACAAAGTTGAGGATGGATGATGACTTCTCAAGTAAGCCACCGCTTGGACCAGATCTGAGGGATTTCCAAACTCTTGGTAGTGTGGAGTGGTCAATGGACAACCACCGTGACCACGACGATGGAACACCACTGGATAGAAACCCTCTTGCAAAGCCTGGTTGCAGAGTCTGAGCAAGTGCGGCGTTACTCTGCCCAGGGCATTGGGAATTATAATAACAATAGCCAGACTGCTTGGGAGACCCCCCGAAGCTCTTCCTCCAAGATGATGATCTCTTTTAAAATGTGCTTGGTGGTCAGCAAGACACACGGCCCAGTCCATGGCTACAATACCCCCGTCCTCTAGGAGAAGGTTATCCCTGGTAAAGCGAACTCCTGCTTGCAGTTCAACACCTTCCTTTGTGGGCCACATGAGATTGGTGATGATCTGACGATGAGGGTCATCATGAGGCCACCTTGCCAGTGGAGGATGCGACAAAGCTTGGCAGTGTTTCTTCAGGTGGTTGGCAAGGGCTGTGGGTTTACAGATCAGTCTGATCCCATTCTGACATTCTCCCATGTCTTCTGATACTGTAAGGTAGGGCAGTTTTAGGAGTCTACAGGCCGTGACCCACACACAGCGGCCCGACTGCTGAACAGTACTGTCTGCTAGATGACAAATCCAGGTCCATCTAAGCAAAAGCTTTAGCAGGACCAGCAGCAGAGAAGGTAGCAAGCAGAGAAAGAAGACGCACATTGCTCCCAATTCCGTAACCTTCGGGTTTCCAGTAGCACAATGAGCAAATGGAAAAACTCAAAAGATCTTTAAACCAAATGTTATGTTCTAGCACATCGCACCGCCTCCCCTCCCCATTGCAACCGTGCTCCCCCTGCTTTAGAAATCATTAACAGTACCTCCACAGGGCGATTTTAGCTATAGGAAGCAGCCTAACAGCAATCAAATGGAACTAATTGCAGTTTCGCCACTTGAATGTACAAGAATCAAGCAGTTCTCTCATTTACTGCCATCAGAATCCACTTGAAGTGCTGCGGCGATGGAACACATTGATCATTAACAGCTCACAGACTGAATAGGTAGGAGACCTTGAGGATATTGCACCCAAACTCGTACCCTTTGTTCCTGGGTTGTTTGTGTAACAGAAATGTATGGTCCTGTGACTAGAAGTGAACTACAAACTTATTATAAATGCCTAGAAATAAATTATCTAGTCACAGAGAAAACAGTTACTTGCGTAGTGTGTGTGTGTGTGTGTGTGTGTGTACGTGTTTTTGTGACATATCAGGACACAAATCTGTATAATGACATGGGTATGACACAGGTATTACAAAAAGGAGGTGAAATATGAGGACATTGGTGACGTCTTCGTTTCTCAAAATGCTAATAAATCCTACAGGATGAGTTTAATCAGAGAGTAAAGCTGCACACAGTCTCCTGTGATGGTTGGGTTTAGGGGTAGGGTGGGGTGAGGGCGATACAATATATGGTTTGGACAGTATAAAATGAATAGAAACCTATGTAATGCCTCCACTTTTCACAAAAACAAATGTGTGTGTGTGTGCGTGCATTTTTTATAAGTGTCTGTATGCATCAAAAGCAGCTCTTTTTTGTACAAAAAGGTTTTTTTTATTGAAACCATAATACTCAAAGTATCCTCTACAAACACAAACCAATGTCTTTGGTTTTTCAAATTTTGCTCTTTTTTTCTAGAATATTTACATTTTGTAATGTTAAACAAGCCACGTGAGTTCTAAATGTGTTGGTCAAAGCTGGAAAGGCAGAGGTGTGTGAAGTGAGAGGTTAGTAATAATGCAAGAACTCTCTGCAGAAGAGGGACAAAGGCAATGCAAACATCCTTCGGTTTTCGTCAGATTTTTCGATTTAGATTTGATATTTTTGTATAAAGGTTTGACAACAAGCCATGTGCATGAATGTCATCTCAAGAGTTTTCCCTACACAGTGAAAATCGAGACTTAAATACTTGAATATGTGATCTCAAATGGTTGTGCAAGAACCAAAAAAAAAATAATAATAAACATTCCATGACACTGATGCAAAACCTGGCATGATGCATCTTGTACCAGAAGAGTCTCTGTGGACTGCAACCAATTACATAATCATCCACACACCAATGGCAGTTAACAGCTTTTTGGTAAGCTGTTTCAAACTCCTGAAATGAACTTCAATGACACTGTTTGAGCTGATTTTCTTTAGAAGTGTCTTCACTTTGTCTTACCAGTTCTTTGATTTCATTTAAAGTATATCTGGCCCTTTATGAATCCAATAATCGATCATGTTTTCTGTATGGAAAACAGGCATTTTGCAGCTTTTCTTACCTATTATACTTAAAAGTATACACTAAAAACCTAAAGTTATGAAGTGAATTATGTCATATTATTGTCATGTCATAGATGACCAAATAAGAGCTACATATGCTACCATCTGATCCCAAATCCTGGTCTGTTCATGAGGTATGTTCACAAAGGCACTACCAAAGACAAAGTGACTCGTAACAACTATAACAAGCTGCAGCTACATTCTTTTCTGTCTGAAGTTCAATGTTAAAACAAGGATTTGTGACTCCTAAAATAAAAAATAAAAAGTTTGTTTTGCCTTTAACATAAATAATTGCATCCTGATTAGACTTTCAAGCCTAGTTCAGACTACACAATTTTATGATTCGCTGTCAGATTGTGGGATTTTGATGAGATCAAACATGATCAGTGTTTTATCAATGTTTTTTAACATGATTAATCATCCCGCAATATCTACAATGCAAATGCTGTCATCAAGCAGCCGCGTAAATTACAAATATGCGTCTCTGTAATTGTCACATCGTGCGTTTCCCACAGACAGCAGTTTCCCCATTAATGCGCATGTTTCCTGAATGACACCAGCAGATAAGTAGATTCATTGTGTGCCAGCAGGAGGTGCTTTTGAAGCTGCAGGAGCGATTTCCCAACAATGACTGTAAACAAAGATTGCCTACGCACACAAATGCTTAAGGAACTTAAAATTCTAATGATAACAAAACTTCCTGTAGACATTCGGTTACTTCAGTTATGTTCCTATTAAAAAAAAACCTGCACCATTACAAAAAAAAAGCCTGTATGAGAAACACTGAGTCACTATTGTGATTGAAAGCATAAGCGATTGCTGCTAAATCCATCTATCGCCAACATTTATCTTTTTATTCTGTCATGATAGTCTCTCGATGACACATACAGGCAAGTGTACTGTTGTCATAACTTCTTGTCTATCTAGTAGCACAGTCTTCTCTCTTTAGTTTTGGCGCTTTAAAAGCTGTGTACGGAGGAGATTCTGTGCTCCTATTGGTCGATTAGATGTCACCCATGTGACGGAATCTATTAAGGACGACAGGAAAGAAATGAAACTTGCTAGACTTTGTGAGTTGACTTTGTGAAGGATCACAGAGTTGGGTGTAACACGTTCCACAGTAATGAGTTACTGTATCTTAATTACATTGCTGGGAAAAATCTACATCTTTTGAATTGGTCAAGCTGCTGTGTTCAATGTTTTTTTCAGTAAAAATGAAATGACTGAAAGAGTATTTTTATGTTTTAAAAGTAGTTTCAAAGTAAAGTCATTAGTAATCTGATTACTTTTTAGATGAAGTGATTAGTAATGTAATTAAATTACAATTTTGAAGTAATTATCAGTCGTTTATAATTGATTACTTTAAAGGGGTGGTCCAGAATGTAATTTTAAGGCTTGGTTGTGTTTATAAGATGCAAAGCAATGTGTGCTCATGTTTCACTTGAAGAAAATCGCGTTATTTTTTCATAAATCTCACTTTGATTATACACAGCTACTCAGCTAACATGAAAACGACTGTCATATTTCCTAGTTCCTCTGAAAAGCCCGCCCTTAAGTGACTCTGATTGGTCATCGTCATAATGTGCTGCTATTCGCGGATCAGCTCCACGTCACGCCTGTAAAAGCACGCGCTTTTCTGCTGTGTAAAAAATGAGTCAACCTCCTGCCTGCTCTAAAATAAAATCTGACAAGTGTCTGTAACGAGTGAAAATGGGGTGCGGCTCCTTTAAGAGACCGCCGTCTTTGTGTGTGTGTGTGTGTGAATGTTATCTGCGTCTATGCGTGTGTGTGAATGTGTGAACTTTCTGTAACAAGCTCATGTTTATAGGAGTTTTTCTTTCTTTTTCTCTGATGCTCGGATTAAGTTATTTTCTGTAAGATATCGTGACAGAAGAATAAAGCGCAAGATGTGGGATGCGACCTGTGTGAGCCTTGATTTATTATTCTGCTGCTACGCGAGTCAGGTAAGCTAACCTGTATTTTTTTAACTCAACGCGTTACATGACGTCTTTCATAAATATCTGAAATATGCAGGTGTAAGTAATATGAATCATCCACATATCTTTTGCGACTTCATTATCTGAGATGTGAAACGCATGAAAAAGCTGCCTGAAGACAATCAATGCAGTCGCGCTCACACATAAGAGACACGACTGTGCTGATGGAGTGTGTGTGTTTACAGCAGTTTGACTGATAAATATGAGTCTGTAGCTAAATCGTTTGCCCGCAAAGCAGCATTTCGCATTGTTTACATTGTTGCAACAGCATACCGTTAATGCTAGACACTGAACATGTCATGATCAATTTTAACTAATAAAAACACTTACAGGTTGTAGCTCACAGCTTCTGCTTTGAGGAAATTTAAAGGTGCAGTAGGTGATCTGCCAAAATGCCAACCGCTTAGCATATTATCTTTGGACGGAGGGGAGGGACTGTGATTCAAACCCACACCCCCTGAAATCGCGAGCATCGCGTCACAACAGCCGACAGACAACCCACTAGTTCATGCAATTCGCCAGTTAGTTAGTGCCAGCGCCGTGCAGGAATTACATGAAATACTTTGCCACACTTACATGCTATTTCAGAGCGAATATTCAGAGTAGCATGGTAAACAGTATAGGAAAGCTGTCATTGTTCAAAAATGACCCAATGTGAATATAAAAGCAACTTCAGCTCAATAAAGCAGGCTAGGCGGAATAGCGCTATTTACTGGTGTTTTGTTGTTAAACTAAATATAAATCTACATTATAGATGCTGTCAAAGAACCTTATGAAACTGAAAATAATCACATCAATCTTTCACCGGGAGATTTCAGTGGCTGAACAACACGTCTGTGCAAGTCATTCATAACACAATCTAACATAAAATAGCTTCAAAACAGAACATGACCTGTCTAACAGTGATACTTCAGCCATGGTGTCGTCCTTCCTCCAGCGTGCTAAAGTAACTCCAATATTAATTCAGGTATTTAAAAGTTTCAATTTAGCATTTGATAGCATTTGAAAATTTCATTTTTTAGTTTTATGCTTTACCCAGAATATAAAAATACATATAAACACATTTAGATCATTTACTGTAACCATTACTAGACTGTGAAGAGAGTTTCAACCAGCACAACAAAACATGTTTCTGAAGACAATCACCTACTGCACCTTTAAGATGAATCCAGCACTGTACTTGGAGAGATTTTGGAGCTGTTTTGTCAAATCATGCTTGCTATGTATTTTATAATTTTCTGGAACATAATTAATATTGAACTGTAAGCACTTCCGTCTTTGTGTCGTGTCCTTTGGAAGCCCAAATACAGAAACGGACGAAGCTCTGTGGAAACAGCAGTGTTTAGATGCATTTTTAGCTTCATCTCTGCTATAACGTTACAGCGCCTCTGGCCACGGCCCTTACCTGCACAGTGTGGGGTGCGCAGTAAACAAACTTGTGATCTCACAGGGGGCGGAAATATTTTTTGTAGTCCCCAAAATTCGTTCATTGTAGGCTTTGCTAAGCTAACTTTATAAAAACCAAGGTCTCCCTTTGCATTGAACTTAGAACTTTTCACATTCAGAGATGTTGCTTATGTTCACACAGCTACACATCAACTAAGTTTAAAATATGATATCGTAGTGGACCACCTCTTTAAGTAACTTCCCCAACACTGGTAACAGACATGGCATTGGTTGTCGAGCACTTTGTCACACTACAGAAGAAATGATTGAATGCTGTGTCCAGAAACTCATTTTTTAAGAGTTCACACTTAGCTGATGATTGATAATAAAGCTAGTTTGGCGTGCTGTCCCGGGAGAGAGCCCTGAGCTTATAAGATCCTCGAGCCTTGGGCTCCCTCCCGTTGCAAGGCGAGAGGGGAGTTTGAGCTCAGGTAGATCTCGATGACTCCCCCTCTTGCTTGTTGTAGTGTCAGATATGTATGCTGAAAGGTGTACACAGAGTTTAGCTAATGTATTTTGGATTAATTGTTTAGAGTGCTTGTTTTTGAACTGTGGGAGGAAACCGGAGGACCCGGGGAAAACCCACGTGACCACGGGGAGAACGAGCAAACGCCGCACAAAAATGCCGTCTGGTTTGGAAAGGAATTAAACCAGGGGCATTCTTGCTGTGAGGCAACGGCGCTAATCGCTGGCCACCGTGATGCCCGTTTTAAAGGAGGGAAAGTAGGGTTTGGTTTGGGGGGTTTCTTCAAGACGAAGATATTGAGATGAGAAAAGTCTGGTTATTTATAGTGAGTTAAGGATCGTCTGATAGGATAATCAGTCATTAGCTAAAGTTGGAACAGCTGTGAACAATCATAAGCACGTGATCCTCTCGAAATTTGTTTATAAATAAACTTCACTTGTTGTTTACGAATCCTCGTGATCCTTAACGTCAAGCAAATCAGGACAAAATTGTGTAACCTGAACAGGGCTTTATACAGTAACCACATGAGCTTTACTTTAAAATCACACGTGGAACAAAAGTGGGTATTTGAAAATGTGTGTTTCTCATGCGAGTCTCATATTTTCTATAAGGGGAGTCCGAAACAGTAAAGCCGAATAGCTAATACTGTGTACTATCACACAATATTAGCAATGTCATTAAAGCATTATAATTGCCTTTGCAATTCTAAGTTTCCTAATGCTCCGAAATGTGCTGTATCTAATCATTCATTCACATTTAAAAAGAGCCTGTGGAGACAAGCGGTGGTGGAGCCGCTTAGTGTTGACTAAAAGCAAATAGTATGTGGGCGATTTGAAGTGGCGTTGGCCTGTCTGTGCTCATACTTGGGTTGTGAGGGGTTAGCAGTGAACCGGGCAGCTGTGCACAGGACCGCTTGCTTTATTCAGACTGTGCCGTTAGTGTATTTCGAAAGCTTATTCTCTAAGTCACAGATTCGCTTCTCCTGCGAGAGGACTGTCGCCTTCAGATTTTGGATCTCCTCAATGAGCTTCTCCAACAACTGAGGCTAGAATTTAAAGGAAGATGGAGAGAGTAGATGGAAAGAGAAGACAGAAAGTGGTAGTAGAGAGAGAGGGGGAAAAGAGACAGCAAGTCAAGGATAGTCTGGATCTGAATAAAAGATGTTTAGCTTGTAGGGATGGGAATCAATTCATATTGTTTTATTGATTGTTTCTAATGACTCTTCTTAGAAATTAAAGGAAGTTCACTCAAAACTCAAAGTTTCCTCACCAATTACTTAAACTCAAGTGGTTGTAAACGTTTATGAATGTTCTGCTTCTGTTAAACAACACTGAATATTCTGAAGAATGTTGGTAAAAAGCAGCAATTGACATTCATAGAAGAAACAAAAATACTGCGGAAGTCAATGACTGTTTTCAGCATCCTTCATTCTATCTTTTCTGTGTGTTCAATGGAAGACAGAAAGTCAAACAGGTTTGGAACAAATGGAGGCGTAAACAGGACAATTTTGATTGTGCCATGGACATAATCCAGGATGACGATGCAAAGATTCATCTGAAAAAGGTTTCATTTCGACCACCATTTGACCTAAATTCAATTGAACATCTTGAGATGCAACGACTCAGGATCAGGTAGTCGAGAGTCTCCCATCAAACAATAAAAGATCTTAAAAAATAAAAGAATGAATTTCTTAATGGAAATAAACTGCGATATTGCATAAGGTCACTGAAACAATGCCATGCTACTGCACCCAACCTGCTCTGAGCTGAGATTGAACCAGTGATTATTTTTATGGGAGTCGGTTGCTCTAATAAGAATACTAAAAACCACAGACTGTAGCATCTGTCGCTAGAGCACCTTTTGAGGTCAGGGGAGTAAGGTTTACCTGCATAGCATTTCGCTAGATGGCCTCCGTTACACTTGCACAGAAACATGTTAATTCCAGTAATAAAGTGCCAACTGTACACTCAAATTTGTTCAATTCTAAAAAATATTATATTTTTTTGACCCTGGAGTCTATATATTTGCTATATTTATAATACAAAGCCTCCAGCACTAACTATTATATATAATAATATATATAAGCCGAATATAAAGAATAAAGGCAGTTTTTATTTTCTTTGAAGCCATTTTAAGGTCAAAATTATTAGCCCCTTTAAGTTTTTTTTTCTGATAGTCTACAGAACAAACCATCATTATATAATAACTTGCCTAATTACCCTAACCTGCCTAATTAACCTAGTTAAGCCTTTAAATGTCACTTTAAGCTGTATAGAAGTGTCTTGAAAAATATCTAGTCAAAAATTATTTACTGTCATCATGGCAGAGATAAAATAAATCAGTTATTAGAAATGAGTTATTAAAACTATTATGATCAGAAACGCGTTGAAAAAAGGGGGGCTAATAATTCTGACTTCAACTATATATATATATATATTTGTACACCATTACACAGTATCGCAAATCTTGATTAATTTTCTATATGCTTAGAATTTGTGATGATGGCTATTACATACAGTATTTGATCCAGTAAATGAGTCAGGAGACCAACTGACTGACTGAGAAAGTAGTGGAGCAATAATTTATTCATAAGAGTCATTTGTAATTTTAAATGATGCATAGATGATGTAATGCAGAGAACTGTACATTTTCAGTAGTTTAATATAGTAATAAAACAAATCATCTTTTGCAGCAATATCACTTTTGTAGCAATATGAGACAATGGCTGCATCCGAAACCGCCTATGACTCAGTGGGTACTGCATTTAAATTTAAACGTATGTATGTGAAAAGTATGAATGGAATTCGGACGTACTACATCCTCCATTTTGACATAGTCACGTGACGTACCTGCGTAATTTACGTCGCTTTACTCCCATACATGAATTCGCTCGCGGGGCATCATGGGATAGCGCAGCGTGCATGGAATGCGCACTCCAGAATCTCGCCGGAAGTAGTAAGTCATCCGGGTACTTCTCGCGTACTGCTCACATACTGATTTTAGCGTACTATATGGTATGGAAGTATGCGGTTTCGGTTCTGTTGAACGCAAAATGAAGATGTTCTAAAGAATGTTGTAGCCATTGACTAGTATCTTTCATAGAACTCAGTGGTTCATGGTTTCCAACATTCCTCAAAGTGGCTTCTTTTGTTGTTTAACTGAAGAGAGAATCTCAAAAATTTTGGATGTGTACATTTTCATTTTTGGGTGAACTATCCATTTACACCATGTGGAAACAGCATTTATCATCTGATTTGCAAAGGGAATTTGTTTTTCAAATAACTGAAAAGGATTCCCAGCCCTATTTGCTTCTACGGAAGTTTTGAAAAAGATGCTGAAGAAACAAAAGCAATGAAGGAGAAATTTGAAGACCGAGAAGAATCCAGATGTTCTACTCACTGGCAAACTGCTTCCGTCTACGGCTGACATGCTTCTGCGTGTGGCAGGTCTGCTGTCTAGAACGTTCTTCTTGGACACCTTCAGCTCTCTGCTTTTGGGAGGAACATATCCATCCCTCATGGACACGAGGATGGGGTCGGCGTCTCGTCCATCCATCCATTCTTCAGGCTCCACAGCTGGATCTGGACCTGCTGTATCTGGGAAAAGATCATCCTGGAAGAGGTCCGACTGCAAGTGTAAAAACAGAGGTACTTTTACTCATATCATCAGCTCTTCTGTTTCTGCTACATGAATTTATTTCTACACAGTACTTCAATATTAAAACAACCTTAATCAATGAGCTTGAGCTCACCTTTCTGGGTACTGTCATCATGATAGGCTCACACTTCCTCTCATGGAGTTTATATAATCTGTTACAGAAAAAAAGACGGTTCGGGAATGCTCAATATGATCATTTAGCTTATTAGACAAAGACATAAAGGGCTAAGTTCAAAGAAATGCAATTGGATTTCATACTGAGATCGTTACTGTAAGAGCCAGTTATGCATAATTCATTTGTGATAATAATTTAGTTAAAAGGGTTAAAACATGATAAAAGTTTAAATTTAAATATAATAAGAATTCATTGTGATCGTATTACCTCTCAATAATGACTTCAAACCACACTGAACTGAGCTAAACTGAACTGAACTTAAACACTAAGAACTGAACTACCCTGATCCAGCTACTATGACCATTTATGTGAAGCTGCTTTGACACAGTCTACATTGTAAAAGCGCTATACAAATAAAGCTGAATTGAATTGAATTGTATTATCTAAAATGCATAATTTAATAATTGATACAATTTTTAAAACAGTTTCTTTGGTATTTTGGCTTCCGACAACAATTCGTCATGAGGTCATTAGTTCATACGTTTAAGTCAGATTGCGCAACACAGTTTTTTGACCGAGCTGATCGAGTCTATTGTAACTTTGTATTTTTGTTTGCATTTATTCAGTAAACCTTTTCTTTAAAATAAGATTCGGTCTTACTCGCGTTTTTGCAAATACTGGTTGTAGAAATAGAAGCTGCAAAAGGTGGTGCGTAAGGATTTGTACGAAAGGTGTGCCATTACAGTTACAAAATACTTTTATTTATATTTTCAAGCATTTAGAAAGGCCTGAAAATATCATCGTCTACGGCCAGTTTAGTTTATTCAATTCACCTATAGCGCATGTCTTTGGATTGTGGGGGAAACCGGGGCACCCGGAGGAAACCCACGCAAACACGAGCATGCAAACTCCACACAGAAATGCCAACTGAGCCAGCCGGGACACTCACCAGCGACCTTCTTGCTGTAAGGCAACAGTGCTAACCATTGAGCCACCGTGTCGTCGCTACATGTTCAATCTACAGTAATACATGAGTATTTAATAACTAAAACAACAATGGTGGACTACAGGTATACAAACGCATACTGTACGCACTATTTTTATTCGAAGTGACATTGTCAACTTCTGACTCAGGATTTCTGCAGGTTTCACCAAGGTAAATTTACAATTTGTAAGACATTTTAAGACCATTATGAATGAATTTTTCGAAGTATACAGGGCTAAATGCTAAGGATTTTTTTTTTATATCCCAGTTGGAAAAGATTTTCACTTGCCCTATCAAAAGATGATAATAAAAAAAATATAGATCAGTGTCCTCAGCAGTAAATGAATGAACTTTTAAACAAATATTACTATAAGGAAAGGAAGTTAATGCTATTTTTAAATAAAATGTTTTATTGAGATGGCTTATTAGTGAATGTATAGGTGTTGGCCAGATTGGGTAGCTACTGTATACATGGACAAAGGAAAATGAAGAATATTTCAGTAAATGTAAGACTTTTTAAGGCCTAAAATGTAGCTTAAATTTAGTTTGAGACATTTTACCCTGTGATCAAGAATGAATAATACAGCTTTTTACATTTTTTAAGTCTTGTTGTTACATTTAAAACACTTTAAAATCCAAAAGGAAAACTTGGCATTTTTAGTGCACTCTTATCATATAAATGTAGACCTGTGGTCACCAAGGCTGTTCATTTAATCAAAAATATGGTACAGTTATGTGTGAGTGTGGTTTCACCATCTAAAATTTGTGATTTCTATTATAATGGATTTTATTTTTCTCCTGCAATGACAAAACAGATTTTACAGCATTATTACTTCAGCCTTCTGTGGTTAATAAATGAGTTATGCTGATTAATATTTAGTTGAAGTGGAGATATTATTTCAGTCTTTTTTTCATGTATTTGTAACATTATGAATGTCTTTACGGTGCCGTCAGATCAGTTTTAAACATCCTGGCTGAGGGGAGGGAATATGAATTTTTTGTAGAATACTTGGTAGAATAAAGTATATAAAGTTTATAAATATATAATATTACTCAAATACATATAGCTACACTGTAAAAAATATACTTAAATTAAGTTTTCCATATATTGTGAATTATGTTTGAATTTTTTATTATTTATGCTTTTAAATTGCATTATGGGATCTTGATCTTTCTTCTGACAACTTATAACCCTAAAAAGTTGGGAAAAGTTACTTTTTATTAACATTTTTAATAGTTTAAAGCTGTGGTGTTCAAACTCAGTCCTGGAGGGCCGGTGTCCTGCATATTTTAGGGTGCTTTCACACCTACACTTTTGTTTCGGAACCTGTCTCGTTTGCCCAGTTAACACAGTTCGTTTGGCATATGTAAAACCACCAATCGCTCTCGGATCCGCGCAAAATCTGACATCGCTTGAATGAGGTGGTCTCGGCTCAACTGAAACGAACCCTGGAGCGGTTCGATTGCAGTGTGAAAGCGATACGATCCGAGCGCGGTTATATTACTGTGTTTTATGGATATGTAATGGGCATACAGCTATATGAAGAGAGAATTATGAGTAGGGCGGAAAGTTTCGCGAGTCTCCGGATGCCCGCAAACGAGTGATAATCTCCCGGTAATCTCGCGTCTCCCTCCCGGTCCTCAAATAGGCTACGTCGCGCACCCTTCTCACCCCGCCCCACTGTATCTCTACTCACTCTTAAGACACGTCGTGTGCACCTTGTCAAACACACCAAACCACCACCTCCCCTGACAGCTGAGCGGGACTCTGCAAAATAAACCCTGACACTCTGACCAATGTGAGGAGAGTTTACTCACACGTGACTTGTTTTAGCTCTTTTGGTCCGATTAGAAACTTTGCAGTGTGAAAGCGAACTGCTCCAAGAGCAAAGTGCAACAATGTCAAATTTGTAATCTCTGTTTCGGAACAACTGAATCAATTCACAGGTGTAAAAGCACCCTTAGTTATAACCCAATTAACCACACCTGAACCAGCTAATCAAGACTTCCAGGCAGGTGTGTTAGAGGAAATTGGAACTTAACTATGCAGGACACCGGCCCTCCAGGACCGAGTTTGGACACCCCTGGTTTAAAGAGATAGATTGTCTGTGTTGATGTTGCACTGTCAGGTCCTGTGTTCCATGTTTTCATCATTCCCCTACAAGGATTTGTTTCCATCATGTGACCCTTTTGTTCTAGTTCCCGCCATTTGTTAATGTTCATTAGTTCCACCTGTGTTCCTCCCCTGTGGTCAATGTCATCATGTCCTTGTGTATTTCTACCCTTTAGTTTAGTTATTCCATTGTTGTATTTCTATAGTCTTTCTACCCCAGTGTTTTCTTTTATTTCCCCTTGTGTTTACCCCATGGTTTCCATCTACACCCTTAAATTCCTCATCCTTATGCTGAAGCAAGAGGAAAGCAGCCTCGAGGACAATACAGGACGATTTTTGTTCCTAGTATCTCAATCCAGCTGGCCGGATGACATGCTCTGAGGGTTTTACAACTCTAAAACCACTTGCAGAGCACTGTCGTCCGAAGATGGCCCTTGAGGCAATCTCGCCACCAATGTGCAGTGGAAACTGGCGAGGAACAGATCATTGTTCAGTCTTTGGCACTCCAAACCCAGTGACCAGCCCATCGCCCATCTGCAGTGATCATGCACCAGAGCCCACCGCAAACGGAGAGCCACCCGTGGTGTGCCATTGAGAGCGACAGAGCGGAACATCACAGAGCAGGAGGAGCTCAACCAACCGTCTGACAAGGTGTGTGAGCCGGCAACAACGCTGAATGTGGTAGTTCTGGTGGACATTGAAGGACGAGCGAGAGCCCCGCCCACCTACCCACCACTGAGGGTGAGCTGTCCCTGGACCCAGAAATGCTGCTAATAGACTTCTGGAGCGAAGCCTTCCGCTGTTCCCAAACAGCCTTTCAGCCTTTTGATCCCAGAGGACGATAGCTAAAGAGTCCTGAGCAGCATCCCACCCTTCTTCACCTTCGCTGATGTCATCACCTACAGCCATTCAGGTAACTTCAGCGCTGCTACAGTCAGCCAGTCCCACAGCTCACCCTCCAGCTCCAATTGAGGAGGTCTCAACGAAGGCCTGCCAACCTGTTTTGCCGACCAGAGGTTGTCGTCCGACTCTTCTCCTCTGCCCTCCGACCCAACGTCTCCACGTTGGCTCTTTCTTCCCTTATCTCCTCTGTGGACCATCAGCCCACCAGCTCCCCTGTCCCTCCAGCTCCGCCTTAGTCAGTCGTTGCCCTGCCTCCACCTCTGGACTCCGCTCCTCTGTCGCTCAGGCTCTGCTGCGGGCTTGCAGACTTCGTCGCTTCGGTCGGATCAGCCATCCGCTTTACCTTGGCTCTCCGGGACCTCGATGCCACTTTCGCCCTATGGCTCTTCACCTCCTCCTTTCCACGTGCTCCAACTCATCTCCTGGCTCCTCCCTCCTAGAGTCTTCCCTGACCACCTCCTCTCACCCTTCTGTTTATTGGTTAGGGCGCTTTTTTAAGGGGGTGGGGTGGGGGGTGGGGAGATGGTGTAATGTCAGGTTGTGTGTTCCATGTTTTTGTCATGTGATCTTCACCCATGTTTTCCTTCTCCATGTGTCTTTGTTTTCATCACGTGACTCTTTTGTTTTAGTTCCTGCCATTTGTTAATGTTTATTAGTTCCACCTGTGTTCCTCCCCTGTGTATCATCAGTGTCATCATGTCCTTGTGTATTTATACCCCTTAGTTTAGTTAGTCCATTGTCCGGTATTCTCTTGGTTATGTCTGTCAACACCCCATGTCATTCCTGAGTCTCCTGCAATCCTTTGCCCAGGCTTGACATGTACATTTTGCTGCCAAAAACCTTGTAATAAGCTGCCAGTACATTTTCTGTTATTTTACAGATTCATTTCTCTGTATATTATTTCTTAATCAATACATTATTTCAAACTACTAACATTCCATATTGCAATTCACAACCATAAATAACTGGAGAACACAGAACTAACTGTTTTACAGTGTACTAAATCTATTTATTTATTAGTGAACTTCTACAAGTTGTCTTTTTGTTATAGCTGTACGTGTAACTGAATCCACATCATATAGCTATACTAGCACAAGGAACTATTGATCAGTATTTGATATTGGCCGGTGTAACCGTGCAGAACTGACCTGGCGATCTCACACTTGCTGACATCCACTCCTCTCTTCGGCATGAAGCCCATTCCTCTCTGGGGCTCCTTGCTGCTGAATGTGCTGATGTAATGCACATACGGAGGCTCTTCTGTGATCTCAAAATACCGAATACTGCTGTCACCCTGTGGAGACAGAGACTACTTTACAGCGCCTGTCTGCGAGTGATAACAAATGAAGACGCAGCCTAGTCATACCTTGCCACTGAGATACACTATATTAGTGTCCGGATCATAAAAAGGCAATAAAACTCCATTACTTGTGTCCAACTCCAGTAATGCAATGGGCTCTTCAAAATTAGTCTGAAATGACAGAATTTACACAATCAGTTATATGTAAGAAAACCAGGGCAGTGAGATTAAATGGATAACATGAGTAAATCTTAAAGCAGCAGTTCAACCCAAACATCCAATTCTGTCATCATTTATTTGTCTTCAGGTGTCAGAAATTCTGCTCATTTTTGAAACATAAAGATGTTAATGAAACCTGAAAGGTTTTGGTCCATATGCTGAGGTCCAGATGAACAAAACGTAATTAAATTAAAGCCATTTTAAGTTGAGTTTATTTAACTATGTAGAGTTGAAGCCAAAATAATTAGCTCTCCTGTGAAATTTCTTATTCTTTTTTTTTTTATATTTCCCAAGTAAAATTCAATGAAGGAAATTTCAGTATTTTTCCTATAACTTTATTTTCTTTAGGATAATGTCTTTTATACAGGGCCGGATTGGGACTCCTTTTCAGCCCTGGAGTTTCAAGCCTTAGACCGGCCCACCTCAGTTCACGACTGACTATATTAAAATAAGGTCATTTCTAATTACACTATCACGTCTTTTTCAAGAAAACAGCTGCTTTAGAACTTCAAATGTTCAACAACCTTACAATTTTATACGTCTTAACAATAAAAAATAAAAAAATTAAATAAAAAAAAACTACTTAGGTGAGGTTAGAACACGGGTCGACAGCATCGTAACGCAACGTGCTGACCACTGGACCACAATGGCAATGTTACGGTTGTGTGGCCGGAATGATAGTTACAGGCTGTATTTTGCTCATGTGGCTGCGAGACAGTGAATAAGAAGAGCGGAGCTGCGGCAAAACAATGAATACACTGCAAAAAATGCTTGTCTTGCTTAGATCTTGTCTTGTTTCTAGTCTAAATATATACAATTTCTTAAATCAAGAAGCATTTTCTAGAAAAGCAAAACATATTGTCTTGTTTTGAGAAATAATATGCCAACATTAAGTGAGTTTTTCCTTAAAACAAGCAAAATAATCTGCCAATGGCGTAAGCAAATTAATCTTGTTTTTTCTTTCGACGTAAGATTATTTTGCTTACCCTATTGGCAGATTATTTTGCTTGTTTTAAGGAAAAACTCACTTAATGTTGGCATATTATTTCTCAAAACAAGACTATGTATTGTTTGTCTGGAAAAGTCTTCTTGATTTAGGAACTTTTAGATATTTGGACTAGAAACAAGACAAAAAATCTAAGTAAGAAAAGCATTTTTTGCAGTGTAAAAAGAGTGAGGCTATGGTCAATTAAATAAATAAATGAAAAAAAAGTGCGACTGCTGGGAGTGCAAGCAGCTAGAAACACCAGCCCTCGCGGCCAAAAAACGGAGAGGCCCACCGGGAATTCTCCCGGTCCTCCCGATAAGCCAATCCGGGTCTGCTTTTATATATTAGCTTGACTGGAATTTTTTTTAAACACATTTTAACCCCTTTTTAGTTATTATGTCGTTGTTGTTGTTGTTTTTTTCCTTGATTGGCAACAGAACAATGTCTAATGTTCAATGTTCAATGCCTAAATAATTTAACTTGCCTTGTTAATCTACTTAAACCTTTAAATTGCACTTTAAGCTGAATACTAGCATCTTGCGAAATAACAAGTAAAACATTATGTAGTCATCATGACAAAGACAAAAGAAAAGAGTTGTTTCAAATTAGTTTTAACAATTGTGTTTAAAAATGTGCAAAATATAGGGCATTTGGGAGATATTGTAAAATGAATGCTCATTGTTACATCAAAATTTGTGTGTGAAGAATGAGGATCAATAAGAACCAGAATCATCCATGTTTATCATATATGATGAGTTCTGTTAATTTATTTGTGACTAAAATTCTAAATGTAAATCTGTTACAAAGCATTCATATCCCTTCACTAACATTGGATTACATTTTTAACAACAATTTCTAAACGAGGATTCTTCTTTCTGCTTCTGTCGAGTACAAATAGATGTAGAATGGCATTGAACACATCAATATAATGAATTTTCAAGCAAAATTTCTGAATTAATTAAATGAACTGCAAAGTTGATCAGCATTAACCATGAAACTAGGGTTCAAACTGACCTGTGAACATCACAAATGTAACAGAAATAAATCAATAGTTAACAAATGTCTAAAGCCAGACTGACCTGGAACATAATACGAGAGTTAAAGCATTATGGATTTGGTTTGATATGAGGTTCAGCAAAAGAAGACTTTATATATATATATATATATATATATATATATATATATATATATATATATATATATATATTAGGGATGTAACGGTATTGTAAATACCGTCATACCGCAATATTAATTTTTTTCGATATTACCGTGGTCGCATGACTCGGTAAAACTATAGGTCTTCTGAGAAAATTTGCTCAGGCGAATGAAGCGAACGGGAGGTAGCGGAAACTACAATTCCCATCAGCCCAGGCTTGGCCATCATCCCTTGCGGTCTGTTGTTGCTGCAGATCCAGTAATGGGGAAATGGAGTGTGCTGCAAGAAGCGGGGATAAAAAAGAGCTGTAAATGATCGAACCTAAGCGGGTGTTGTCGCCGCACGCGTACTGAATAGCGGTGTTGTCGCGCGCGTTCTGATCAGCTGTGTTGTCGCGCGCGCGTACTGAATAGCGGTGTTGTCGTGCGCGTAATGTAAAGCGAGGAGGGGGGGGTTGAGCGCGCATATTCAAGAGCGGTGTTGTCGCGCGCCTACTGAAGGGCGAGGGAGGATGTGTCGCGTCGTGGGGGCACTTTTGATCATTTTGGAAGGGCACTTTCTATCCAAGACTAAAACGGGCATGTGCACTGCACAGGTTGAGCCCTACGTGTGCACGTGCCTGCAAGTTGGGGAATACGACTAATAACAGTCATGGGGGCTGCAGAAACACAGCACACTGTTCAGATTGATGCAGACATTGACTTGTACCGCAAAGAGACCTCTATCTTACTTATGGCTTGTCCCCTCAAGTGGTGGAAAGACAATGCACAACGTTACCCACTGCTGTCAACCTGGGCCAAGTCATATCTCTCTGTCCCAGAAACCTCAGTCCCAAATGAGAGGGTTTTTTTTCTGTTGCAGGGGACATTGTAAATACCCAGAGATACCAGCTTTTACCAGATTATATTTATATGATAATTTTCCTTTAAACCCATCTCTATCTAAGTGAGTGAGTGATTAAATGTTGAATGTGATGAGTTTTCAACACTACTAAATTGAAACTTAATTTTTTTACATGGTTTAATAATTTTTTTGAAGTTCCTGTTTCAAAGCTTACAGATAGATGGCTAATTTGTATGTCATTTACACTTTTGGCACTTTTTTGGAGTATTTTCATAAGTTTGGTTTTTTTCCTGTAAATGATTCAATAAATACCGTACCGTGACATTCATACCGAGGTATTACCGTACCGTGAAATTCTGATACCGTTACATCCCTAATATATATATATATATATATATATATATATATATATATATATATATATATATATATATATATATATTTTTTTTTTTTTTTTTTTTTTTTTGTGAGATACAATTTTAATTTTGTAGCATTACCGGATCCCACAGTCCAAGCTCCCTCTGGCTCATCCTGGTGAAGCCTGTGGTGAAAATATTACCCTCTCGAGTAAAAATGGCTCTCATCGGCCTGATGCCCTCATGTGGAGACAGTCTCTCCTGCAGGAGGAAAAAACCTTCACTTCAACCTGTTAATCTTTTAAGAAATTCTCCACTTTTTATTTCTATTATTTATTTTGCATTATCACATAAAAAAAATGCTTAATGAAAACGCCGAGATGAGCATAAATTTGGAAAAACTAAATAAGTAGAATAAACTTTATCTAATAACAGAAAGTGCACATATTCAAAAGATACATATTTGGACCCAAAGAGTCCACAGAAAGGTGCATATTAATGCCCAAATGTACCTAAAAAGTCCCTTTAAGGTATGACTATGAACTATTCAGGTACAAATATGTACCTTTTGAAAAGGTACTGCCCCAGTGACAGCTCCTGCACCTTTATTTCTGAGAGTGCATAAACTATGATGGTACATTTATTGAATAAATTCCAGCATGCACATCAAAAAATCATGTAATTTTGTTTTAACAGATCATTTGATGACAAAATAACTTAAAGTTTTTTTTTATAACTTTAAACAGAGCTAAACCCAATTTTTGAATCCATTCTGCTGATCTCTGGGTCTGGCAGGAGCACTTTTAGCTTAGCATAGCAAAGATCAGAATTAAATTAGACCATTAGGTTCTCATTCAAAGCAAATTCCAAGAGTTTTGATAATTTTCCAATTTAAAGTTAAATATTCCTTCTGTAGTTACATCATGATTGTGCTCGTCTGAATACTTGATGGAACTACAGAAAGGTCAAGCTAGGAAACGTTTTAGAGCAAGATGCTAATGGTCTAATCTGATTCAATGTTTTATGCTAAACTACTGTTGGAGAAAAGGAATTTAATTTTATTGATTTTGTGTCTTTATTTTTTATTAGAAAAAGGTTTAGACTAACAACAGATTATTCAATCTTTCTTATTGTTTTACAACACATCTTGACCAGACACACTTACTTTATTTTACCGTGCTGGATACTTTTTTAAGGAACATGCTGACAAGTGGAAAAATCAGAATAAGAATAAGTGTGGGGGCCTTTGTTTAATAAAAAGTCTAGACATGTCACAAGTTGTCATGATGCTTGTAGAAGTTGTGAAATACATTAAAGATGCACGTAATTGTTCAGTTCTGGTATGCAGAGAAAGGTTGCAGAAAGAGGAAGTATGTCTAGGGGTTACAAAGAGCCAAAGAACTGCAGAATGACTGATAAGTGACGTTAAACCAAAACTCCACCTTTTAAGATCAGTTCTGTATTTATGCTGGAGTCAGGAAATGTATGTGAGTTGCAAACCTCTTGAATGTAATTCTTGTATTGCATTGAGGTAACGTAACCCAGAGCTCTGTCATCGAGTTATTCATTTGTTTCTAATAAATTACTAATATTTTTGGCATTGAAGAAAACACTCTCCAGACCTTTTCTTACTGAACACGCGTGGAATTGGTGTGATATACCAACACTACGTTAAAAATGCTCTAGCCAGACCTGGAAACAGTCAGAATGAATAAAACAATAGTCAAATCAACTGTTTAATTCCAGATGACTTGTAAAATAAGTCTATTTCCAAATAAAAGTGGTGTTTAACTTTTTCAAGCGATAATGTTAATGTTCATTTGAATCTGTCTGGTCTGCGTGTACTAAAAGCCCTATGGATTTCTCCTTTCTATGTAACACCTACCGCCACCACTTCATTTTTCCTGGGGTCACAGACTCGCAGGCGACGGTCCTTGCAGGTGGTGCAGAACAGACTGCCGTTGTAGTTCCAGCCAACGCTGTAGATCAGATCCGGATGGTCATCCATGGTGATCAAGGCCTCTCCAGTGCCCACGTTCCAGATGATAATCAGATTATCACTGCCTGAGACACAAGCGCACTGCATGATGGAGGGACGATTTTCAGCTGCTTCTCATTTATTTCCAGTAACATAAAATGATTTGTACACTATACCTAGCGCTGGGCAATATGATACAAAAATCTCATATAAATTTTCTCAAATCATCACGACAATATATATGTTCAATCAGTTATTATTGATCCCATGGAAAGGTCTATTTCTTTTTGACGTTTTTAAAGTCTATGATTCACTATGTACTCATTCATTTGATTATTTTTCACATTTTAGTTTAAGAATGACAATAAATATGAATGAAATTCAAAGCATTTGTTCAAAAGTAATAATTGGAGCCCAACATTAAATATTGCTGAATAAATTGCAACATGCAAACATCATTTTCTTTCCCTGTTATTCATGTTTCTGCCTGCATCCAGCTGTATTTTGTGACACCATGAAATAAAAGATCATATGAAACAAAATCAGATAAAATGATAAAAATATAACAATAATATGAAACAATATTTGTTTATTTAATTCATATGATACATACATATATATATATATATATATATATATATATATATATATATATATATATATATATATATATATATATATATATATATATATATACATATATATATATATATATATGACTTAACTTTTCCAAACCGTGGTTTACCTTAAAAACGGTTGTTGTCCCGTGCCTAATGCTGATTTGCTCAATTATTTAAGTTCCCATGAAATTAAAATAAAGTTTTTAGATGTTAGCATCAGTATGCTAGTCTTAAGGATTTCTATATGCTAGTTGCTCCAAAAACAGTTACAAAACTAACATTAATAACATAGAGTAGTTATAAACATTCACAGCTTGCTGTTTGTCACTTCCGCCTAAATGGATCATCAATCATTTTGACATCACCTCATACATCAGTTTCTCCTTAAATCTCCTGACCAATCATATGCTCTCTTGTATCCAACATTCCCCGCCCCTTCAAGACACTTTTAACAACATTTCATTCGATGCACCTCAACCATTGACTTCAAAACACTCTCAGTTTTGATAAAAACTAACAAAGTCACACATCGAATAAAAAAATGCACATTTCAAAGCACTTCAGGGGACCATTAGTTAATGTTAAAGGCATTTTTTCCTGCTTCATAGTTAATACATTCAATAGGTTTTACTTTTACTCTTGAAAGAAATGTGCACATCCTTGCTGAATACAAATAAAGAACGTTTCTGTATTGGTTTCCACAAAAATATGAAGTAGCTCAACAATTTTCAACACTGGTAGTAATAATAAAAGTTGTTTCTTGAGGAGAAGATCATCTAATTAAAATGATTGCTGAAGGACTGTGACACAGAAAAAAAAATCTAAAAAATCATTACATTTAAATCTACTGTACATGCAGTATGAAAACAGTTCCATTTTACACTTTGTACTGTATTGTTGATCAAATAAATGCAGATTTATTCGATGAGCAGAGGCTTCTTTTAAAAATATTAGAAACTCTTTCTGTTCCCAAACTATAGACCAGTAGTGTATGTGCAGCATCTGTTCAGTGTAGGATGTTGGCAGTCATGCGCACTGATAATACTTCACCTGCAGTGAGGAGTATGTTGCGGGCAGTGGGGTGCCATTTGATGATTCCCACTCGTTTGGAGTGACCTTCCAGCACCACTATAGGCTCACTGATAGGGCGAGAGGGTGTGTGGTCAGGGATCTGCCATACCTGAGTAAACATGATTGCATTAGAGCGATGGTTATATAACTAGAGGAACTCAAGGCCCCAATAAACACAGAGAAAAGTTTGTTGTTTAGGTGTACCAAGATGTTTATGTTGATGTCATTAGGATATATAAGTGATTCCAATGCCCCCAAGGCTTCCCGTGGTCTCCTTCCGGTGAGACATGCATGGAACACCTCCCGAGGTAGGCGTCCAGGAGGCATCCGAGACAGATGCCCAAGCCATCTCAGCTGACTTCTCTCGATGTGGAGGAGCAGCGACTCTACTCCGAGCTCCTTCCGGCTGACAGACTATCTATAAGGGTGCGCCCTGCCACCCTGCAAAGGAAGCTCATTTCGGCTGCTTGTATCCGAGATCTTGTTTTTTCAGTCATGACCCAAAGCTCATGACCATACAGTATGTGAGAAAAGGAAAGTAGACTGACTGGTAAATCGAGAGCTTTGCCTTTTCAGCTCAGCTTCTGATTTGATCTATTGTAATCACTCATAATAATCAGATTTTTTGCCAATTTTCTACTGCAAACATATAAAAACTACATTTTGGTTAGTAATATGCATTAACAAGAAGTTCATTTAGAAAGTTTAAAGGTGATTTTCTCAGTATTGAAATGTTTTGGGATCCTCGGATGCCTGCCAAATCTTGTCCTGTCCTAGCAAACAGTATGTTGTGGGAGCGTTGCTTTGGTATTCGGCGAGCGCAGCAGCAATGCCAGAGCAGATGACAGCTGCAGTTAACCTTCTCTAACAGCAGTGCATACAGCGCATGCCATTCACATTTGTAATGTAATGTAATCAAATAGCATTCATACGTTTTTATACATACTGGCAGATTTAATAAATAGCTGTCGTTTTTAGTTGAACTATCCTTTTAAGAAAAACAACAACCAATAAAATTGCTGCATTCGAGACTATTCTGGCATTTGTGAGGCCCTTTCCAATGTGCTATTATTCTATTGTTTTTCAATGCAAACATACACTTGTCGGATTTGTGACCATTACGCTAGTGTCTCACATTTTTTGAAGTTGCGTGCATGTGAACCACTTTAAGGGTGCTTTCACATCTGTAGTTCGCTTCATTTGGTCCGCACCAATGCATGATACATTGTTGCATCTTCTGCCGTCTTTGGGTTGTTTTCACACCACACTGCTGGCTTTGGTCCGAACCAGTTAAAACGAACCAAAATGCAGTCATCTGACAAAATCCACATCTCTCATTGGCCAGATGTTGTTAAACATATTTCCTAAACTGCTTATTGATTGCTCAGAATTCACATGTGGGAAAATGCCAGTGAACTCCCGCAAGTAAACAAAACCGGCAGACACAAAATGTCGCTTTTTACTATGAAGGGACGACTGCGCTGACTGATTGTATCCCTGCTTTAGACAAACTATACATTTTGAGAATGAAGCGCGGCCGTGGCTGGAAAACAGTGTTTAATGCATCACTCGTCGCTTCAGGAGGAGCTGTGAATTAATTTAGCTAAACTGCGACATGGTCATCTTGCAGAAATATTACCAACGATCCATCAGGTAATGTTTTCCCTTCTCTCTCTCTCTGTTGGTAAAGCGCTGTCAACAAATAGTTTTCCTCCATATCCCATAATGCACAGTGCATCGGCCAACGGCAGCTGAATTAGTCCAAAAGGCGCAGTATTTTTGCGGTTGGAACTGTTTTAGTACGGATCATATTCTCTCCACAAACAAACCGCTCCAGGGTGCTTGAAGAGGTGGTCTCGGTACGCTTATTTGGTCCACTTTTGGTGCACACTCGAGTACGATTGCTGCATTTTCACCTGCTTAAACGAACCGCACCAAAAGGGAAAACAGAAATGCTTGAAGTTTCTGCCAACCCGACTCTACATCACAACTTTTCAATCCAGATGGACGGGGCAACCATTATACTGCATCCAAAACGGTGAAAAGCCTTGGAGTAACGATTGATGACTAACTAAACTTCTCTGACCACATTTCTAGAACTGCTCGATCGTGCAGATTCGCACTCTATAACATCAGAAAGATCCGACCCTTCTTATCTGAACATGCAGCTCAACTCCTTGTTCAAGCTCTTGTTCTCTCCAAACTGGACAATTGCAACTCTCTACTAGCCGGGCTTTCAGCTAACTCTATCAAACCTATTCAGATGCTTCAGAACGCAGCAGCACGAGTGGTCTTTAATGAACCTAAAAGAGCACATGTCACTCCGCTACTCATTCGTTTGCACTGGCTGCCAGTTGCTGCTGGCATCAAATTCAAAGCTCTGATGTTTGCTTACAAAGCGACTTCTGGCTTTGCTCCTTCTTATCTGCTCTCACTTCTGCAGATTTATAGGCCCTCCAGAAACTTGCGTTCTGTAAATGAACGTCGCCTCGTGGTTCCATCCCAAAGAGGGAAGAAATCACTTTCGCGAACGCTCACGCTCAATCTGCCCAGTTGGTGGAATGAACTCCCTAACTGCATCAGAACAGCAGAGTCACTCGCTGTTTTCAAGAAACGACTAAAAACTCAACTATTTAGTCTCCACTTTCCTTACTAATATGCAATTCCCTCTCTGACTCCTCCACTAACTACAAAAAATAAATAAATAAATTACTAATTACCTTACACTGTCCTTACACACCTGAAACTTGCCTACAGCACTTATTCATTGTTGCTCTTATAGTTGTGTAAATTGCTTCCTTGTCCTCATTTCTAAGTCGCTTTGGATAAAAGCATCTGCTAAATGACCCAATGTAAATGTAAAACGAACTCTAGTGCGATTCAATCGAACTAAATAAGGCAGGTGTGAAAGCACCCTAAGAGAACTTCAACTTTCACATGCAGCACTGCTCATCACTGTCAGTTCCAATCAGAAGAACTCAAAGGTGGGGAAAGCAAGTGCATAGTGCAAGTTTCTGTTTACAGGCACCCAGTGGCTGTGTCAGGATAAGCTCATGCTTTATGCTGCACTTTTCCATTCTCAAGCGTTGCGTCCCACATTTTTAGAAGCAAAGACGCGTTCGGTTTGAATGAGACCTAAGCTTAAAAGCTGTCGAAGCAAAACGAGACACGATCTCTGAAGCAAATGGTAATGAGAGACAAGTTCGATGTGACATAAAAGCAGAGGAGCTTGCTGTTCTTCTGCAGGCTACTAAAACACCCAACATATTAAAGCACTTTTGATGCTACCCTGTTTTCTATTAAACCAAACCAGTAATTGAGGGTGTATAATTAGCATAACAACACTGGACTCAGTACAAGTTATTCACTTAAACTGCTTCTGATTTGTATCTTCTTTGATTCTTGGGATAATGTTGGTTTAAAAGTTAGTAAAATATACAACACTGTTGGTTTTTGGATATTTAAATTAAAAAATCTTGTGCCAAATAAGTTTTGGATGAGGACATTCACGTGCCCTGGTGTGTGCTGAAATTAAACGACTCATCCCTACAGACACCTCAGTGCATCTTTCCCCGTCTGTCATTACCACTGGCTTATTTGTGAACAGGTTTCTGGCCAAGAGTGCCTTTCTAACATGTGTTTATAAATACCAGCTCCTGTCCCACCGTTAACTCCAGTCATCACCCCCTCATATTAACACTATTGTCAGTCACTGTGATCTTTCCCCCCAGAGTGAGTAGGTATATATGGAGACATGCTTCACTCGGCTGAAAAAAGGGCAACTGAAACATGTTTATGAATGCAAGGCTAGTGGCTGGCAGGCGCTGGAGATGTTTATGCGTGTCTGTCATGATGATTACCATGGCAGTGGTGTCTTCAGAGCAGCTGGCCAGGATGTTGTCATTGTGAGGACACCAGTCGATATCCAGAACAGGCCCCGAGTGTCCAACCACTAGAGGGTAGTTTTTGTCAACTCTACCCATCTATAACAGAAGAACAAACGACAAAGTTTATGAGGAATACATCCATATTGAGAAACACAAATAGCAGGGATCAGAATTAAAGTATTATTAATGTACATGTAATATTTTCAGAAATAATCTTTAACATTTACAATCTGAAGGAATTTTGGCTGTGCCTAATATAACATCCAGGTGCAAGTGTCTTTCAAAATAAGCTAGGTCATTCATCCAAAACCATTTCTTTTTTAGAAAACACATCTGAAGAAAATCCTGAACTATTAGCCCCCTGTTTATTTTATTCCACATTTTCTGTTTAACAAAGAGATTTTTTCAACACCACTTTTTATTTTTTATTTTATTTATTTATTTATTTTATTTTTTTATTTTTATTTTTTTTATGTTTTATTTATCCATTGTGAAACATTACAAAAATTTACAAAGACATAAACATGTAACAATAAGCAAATACACTGAAGAGTATTTTGAGCAAATAATAATAATAAAAATAAATAAATAATAATAAAAATTAAATAATAAAAATAAATAGATAAATAAGTAAAAAACAACAACACTAGTGCAATCTTATATACAGAAAATACAAGTCTACAATGTGTTGACCCGAAATAGTTTCCCTAGTTTGCTAGTTCGGTGAAGAGAGTACATAATTTTTCTAATTTCATAAAATAAAGAACATTTCTTATCCAACAAGTGTGAGAAGGAGGGTGAGAGCTCTTCCAGTTCAGAAGAATTAATCGCCTAGCTAGAAGAGTTAAGAAGGCTACAAAGTCTACAAAATGAGAGGGTAAAGTGTGGTCGGGCGGAAGAACCCCAAATAAACCAATAATTGGACGTGGTGGGATATCAACAGTGGTAATAGCTGATAGCGAGAGAAATATTTGTCTCCAAAAAAAAGCAGGGAAGGACAGGGCCAAAACATATGGAATAAAGTAGATGACACCTGTCGCACTCAGGGTCTATAGACGGATTGATGCGAGCTAGCCTGCTCTTGGACCAATGAGCTCTATGCACTACCTTGCATTGTATTAGCCTGTGACGTGCACAGATTGAGGAAGAGTTAACCCTCTTCAAGACCGCTTTCCATGTCTCCTCAGTAATGTCAATTCCCATGTCTTGAGTCTAGGTTGTCCGTAAATTATCAGAAGAAAATTGAAGATTAACAATTATATTAAATAATTTAGAAATTGAACCTTTAGCACAGGGATCTATGCCCAGTATTGTGTCTAGATCTGAAGTAGGCGGTGCATTTGGAAAGTTAACAAATTTTTTGCGCACAAAATCTCGAATTTGTAAGTATCTGAAAAAATTGGATTTAGGGACATTAAATTGGGATGCCAACTGACCAAAAGAGGCAAAAACAACGTCAATGTAAAGATCACCAAAAGAAGCCAATCCAAGATCTCTCCATGAGGCATAAGCACTGTCCAAGATAGAAGGGTAAAACAGAGGATTGGAGTGTATTGGGGATAATAAAAAGATATTATTAAAACCAAAATGCCGCAAAAGTTGGGTCCAAATTTTGAGAGTGTTTTTTACAATTATATTATTTGAATATTTTTCAACACCATTTCTAAACATGATAGTTTTAATAACTCATATCTCATAACTGTTTTATTTTATCTTCGCCATGATGACAGTAAATAATATTTGACTAGACATTAAACTGATTTTTCTAGCTTAAATTATACAAATAATACTTTCTACAGAAAAAATACTGTGAAATATTACTGACTCTGTTAAACATCAATTGGGTAATATTTTAAAAAGAAAAGAAAAGAAAAAAAAAAATCACAAGAGGGCTAATCATTTGGTCTTTAACTGTACAAAATCAGACAACAGCAATATTTGTAGCGCAAAAAAGTGATTCGAACAAGTAGAGACCCATGCTTTCAATGACTTTAGCACATCTGCATTTACAGCACATCATTAGTCTTCTCAGACATCACTACATCACTGTGTATGTTTTACGTTTTTTTTACAATGATGCAATTTTATATGTGTACAAAGGAGTATTAGTGAAGTATGGAAGGTCTTCAGGGCTTAAAATAAAAAGGTTCAAACAAAATGTTTTTGGCATAATATTTTTGTGTAAACTGATACAATTTCACAGGATCCTTCAATGCAGATAAGCTCAAACGAAGAGGATTTACTAACAAAATAGTTGGCATATTGTATTCCGTGCTGTTAAAAAATAATTCCATAAATACATTTCATAAATAAATAAATAAATTACTTACCCAGTTTGAACGGTAATGTATGTATAAATGTTGTAATCCTAAAATATTTAGCTGAATCCAGTGGTGTAAAGTAACTAATAACAAATACTCAAACTACTGTAATTGAGTAGCTTTTCTTAGGAATTGTAATTTACTAAGTAGTTTTTAAAAATGTGTACTTTTACTTTCCCTTGAGTACATTTTTAGTAGAGGTGTGAACCTATACTGGTTTCACGGTTCGGTTCGGTTACGATTGTCATGCCTTCGATTCAGTTCAATTCGATATCACGGTGCATTGACGATGCTGTCCATATACAGTGTTATATTTAAGGGGGAAGCTATAACATGCTGTCTGTATAAACACACTGCACCACACTGTCTCACATTCAAACACATACACAAACATAGACAGTAACAAACAAACACACACACACACTTAAACCCTCGCAACAGGGAGAGCTCAAACTAAGCAGAGCAGAAAACAAAAAAAAACAAAGCACTTTTCCGATGGTCCCTTACTGAGAGCTCCTCTCAGTGCGAGCTCTCCCGGCTAAACACATATTGCGAGGGCTTAAACGGAGCAGTGCTCGTAATGTCGAGCAAAAAAAAAAGAAAGACAGCTGTGAAACATAACCAGCTTTGTCTTTGTGTAGGAAACACACTTTAGATCTTTTTAGGGTTAGAGGTTTTTGAGTTATTGCCGTCTATAACTGAATGCGTGTCAGGAATATTGAAAACAAAACCAACTGAACCGCGCTCATTTCTGGCGCCACCCTGGATGTACAGCGCCCTTAGCATTTGCCTATGGTGCCTATGCCACGGGCCGGCCCTGAGTTGGCTGAGTGTTGTAAATACCGGCGCTCACCTCCCTCGCGACAGAGCGCATAGGAGATAAATGACGTCAGTACAAAATTACCGGTTATGATTATTACTGAACCGATACCGAATTTTCCGCGTCTGCATCGTGGTGCACCGAAGAAACAATTAATTTTGACACCCCTAATTTTTAGTGCTGTATTGGTACTTTTACTCCACTACTTTTCCTAAGCCTGCAGTCACTACTTTATTTTTTCCTGTCTATGGGGATCAGAAAAATCAGTCCTGTGATTCCTGTCCAATTTAAGAAATTGCATCCTAATGAACTACCTCAAGACATGTGCGATTTATAATTGAGGCAAACTGTTTGGAAGCATTAAAAGTGTTCAAGTAGATGTCCAAAAGTTTTTACACACATTGACCCAGAGACTTTTTAGATGCATGACACTGATGAGAAGATGACGGATGTTTACTGTGTGATGACCAAAATGGCCCTAAACACCCAGCAGGCGCAAGACATCAACATGACGCCTGATTGATGTTGTACTCTAAAGTTGAGGGGATGTTGCATTTTGTTTGGAAATGAAAATCGGGTTGATGTCAGAAATTAATGTTAGGCCGACATTAGTGTCCACAGTCCAACCTAAAATAAATCAAATATCTATGTCTAATAATGATGGTACAGCTTGATGTTGTGTGGACGTTACCACTATGACGTCTATCAGATGTTGGATTTTGGTTGCCATACCTGATGAATTAATGTCAGTATTTGACGTCAATATGATGTTGGTTTAAGATGTTGGCTTGATGTTGGATTTTGGTAACTTTTTAACACAACCTAAAATCAACCAAATATCAACGTCAAAATAACATTGTCATTAGACGCTGGCTTAACATTGAATTTTGGTCACCTGACATCACAACCTAAATCAAACCTATTATTAATGTCTTATGACCTTGTGTGCCTGCTGGGCAATAACTAAATGCACTACAGAATGTTACGTTTGCACACATCCACAAATCACATGTAAACGCATCAGCTTTTAACAGTGTATAACTCATTTTTCACTAATCGAGTACTAAAGGTCTACTTTTTACTCATACTTTGAGTAATATTGACAACAGATACTTTTACGCACACTACATGTTTAGGCGAGTAATGGTACTTTTACCAAAGTATGATTTTTCAGTACTCTTTCCACCACTGGCTGAATCACATTTGACTTGCCACCAATGTGACCACATAATCTCCCCCTATTTAAAACGAGATATTAAATTAATAACACCCAGAAGGTGATATCATGTGGCCTAATTCTCCAGCTCAATCAATTTTCTCACCTTTTTTCCAACCCAGGCTCATTCTGAAAACCTAGTCCAGCGGACGTTTCTGGAGACCGCAAATTACGTCCCGGGAGGTATGTATTTGTGCAGTTTTTCTTTTCGCGAATCCATGAGAGGCCGCTGTGTGCGCTTTTTCATATCTCGAACGTCTCTCGCAAGTGCCGTTCGCGCCCGCGCTGCTCTTGCGTCAACCCACCAGAGGCCGCTGTCTGACAGACCAAATGATTGACTGCGCGACCAGCCAATCGGTTGACCCACCCTCCTCCTTCCCTGAACCCAACCAGTTTTAACGATTGACCCGCACACTTCCCTAAACCCAAGCAACAATTTAGAAAAGCCATCTAAAAAAAGAAAAACCCTCGTTTTCGGGTTTTCACCACGTTCTCACTTTGTTATGAACTATTTGTTATTTTTTTTGGGGATTCTGTTTTTGTCTTACATGATTTCTGGAACCGCTCTTCCCCGGACTTGAACCCGGACGCCTTTGTCAACTTCTCTCTGCATCTGAAGTCCGCCAACGCACACGATGAGCTGACCGAACAAACTGACTGCAGCGGGAAAGCCCTCCACACGGAGGTAAGCGGTCAGCCGGCAAGCGGGAAAAGAAACGGCGTCACACCGCCCCGTAGCGTTCGCTTAAAAAAATTAAATGCAGCCATACGAAACTCCCGGGACGTATTTCGCTGTCTCCAGAAACGTCCGCGGGACTACGTTTTCAGAATGAGCCTGGGTTGCTTTTTTCAGAAACAAAAGCTCATAAGAGAGAGCTTCATAAATGACATCTATTCAATTGTGTTAATAAAATGTATCCTTGAATTTATTCATAGTTTAAAAAGCATTATCCTCTATAAATATGAATTCATGTTTAGTGCTACTCGAACATGACCAAACAAAATGGATCATCAATGTTCAGTTTGATCTCTTCAGGTTGAGTTAACCTCTAACCCAACCAAAACACTGCTCTACTGTTTGTTTTGCAGTTTCATGTCAGAGTTTGGAAATTAATCAATTAATAGTTGCTCTCTAAGGATTGTGATGTAACTTTGCTGTTATTTTGTTGTTCGCGTAGAGCCGTTTTTTTGCACGTGTTGGCTCTGTGTTCGGCTGCTCCTCCTGGCGTGTATTTATAACCCTGTGATGAGGCGTTAAAAAGGGAGTTTTTCTTTTGGCCTGCCTGAGACTGAGCACAGGGGAGATGGAGAGCTGGATATTTATAGCGTGTCTATCCAGGCCTGCTGATAAATGCTCGTGACTCGGCAGAGGAGCCACACTTAAAGGGCATTAACCGATGGACCCTTAGAGAATCCAGACCAACTCACAGATGACACGCAGTGATGAGATGCACTGCTGCGGATCGATATGCTGTGTTTGACTTTGTCTTGTCTGACAAAGGTTGCAATTTCATTAGAAACACCTAAAAGTCATGTAAAATGTGTTTTGGTTGACCTATTTGACTCCCTATTTGAACCCCAGGGAGCCACAAGGAGGTTCCAGACGATACACAGAAATTTAGGGGGGGGGGGGTAAAAACTGTATACATTAAATTAAAAATAATTAATAAATTCTTGAAATAATTAAAAAAGCATCTCTTTAAATACTGAAATGAAAATACTCCACATAAATGTGATAGCAATAATAACAATTAGCCGGCAGCTAGCTCTCTGCAACTCTCATGGTCGCCCACTGAAGCTAAGCAGGGCTGCACCTGGTCAGTACCTGGACCACATGGGAAAGTTAGATTGCTGCCGGAAGTGGTGTTAGTGAGGCAAGCAGGGGGCGCCCAACCTGCAGTCTGTGTGGGTCCTAATGCCCCAGTATAGTGACGGGGACTCTATACTGCTCAGTGAGCACTAACTTTTGGATGAGACGTTAAACCGAGGTCCCGACTCTCTGTGGTCATTAAAAATCCCAGGATGTCAATCGAAAAATAGTAAGGGTTTTACCCTGGCATCCTGGCCAAATTTGCCCACTGGCTTCTGTCCATCATGGCCTCCTAACCTTCAGATATCATAATTGCCTTCATCACTCTCTCCTCTCCACCAATCAGCTGGAGTGTTTGTGCGCAAAATGACTGCCGTTGCATCATCCAGGTGGATGCTGCACACTGAAAAAATGTATGATCATCATAGTGTAACGATTTCACTGCAATGCAAGCTGCTGAAGCGAAAAAGATAAGAGGAGATAGCAATGGATGATGGGGATTATATCATCTCAGAAACGCTTACTTATCATCTCTAAACTCAGCTGCGGTGTATGTCACTGAGGTGCTTTCAGACAACATATGCAGGTTGCGTGCCCTGTTTCCATGGGCTTCAAACGCTGCCTCAGTGAGGGTGTAATGAAGCCCCGTGGGGGATGGTGGATTTAACATGAGCTCGGCTGAGGCTCTTCAACAAATATACCCACAAATACAGATCCATAAAGATTAAATAATAGACATATCATGTGTAAAGTCCACTGCAATCAGAACTGCATTATTGTAACATGACAATGTATTACAGCTGCACTGTAAACACGGCAGTGTTTACTAGCATTAGATTGAGTTTTCCCCCAAAAAATTCTAAAAGATATCATTGAACATTTATTTAAAAATAGCAAAGAGCAAGTCAGGCCAACATTTCTGAGCCAAATCTGCTATGTAATCTCTAGTCTGTTGTTTAGCAGGTCAGACTGTAGTTTAATGCTTCTCTAACACAGTTACACCGCATTACAATGAGATCTGCTATCACTAGGACTACACTATCACACCGTTTCTTTATCTATTTGACCATATTGCTTCACCTACCCCAGTGATTTCCAGAGTGGGGATGGGAACCCCCCGGTGGGTCGCGAGACAATTGTGTGGTGATTTCCAAAGAGCTAATTCATTCTATTAAACTATTTAAATTCATAAATTCATTCATTTTCTTGTTGGTTTGTCCCTTTATTAATCCGGGGTCACCACAGCGGAATGAACCGCCAACTTATCCAGCAAGTTTTTACGCAGCGGATGCCCTTCCAGCTACAAACCATCACTGGGAAACATCCACACACACATTCACACACACACTCATTCACTACGGACAATTTAGCCTACCCAATTCACCTGTACACTGCAAAAAATGCTTTTCTTACTTCGATTTTTTATGTCTAGTTTTGAGTCCAAATATCTAAAAATTCTTAAATCAAGAAGCATTTTCTGGACAAGCAAAACACATTGTCTTGTTTTAAGATATAATATGCCAAAATTAAGTGAGTTTTTCCTTAAAACAAGCAAAATAATCTGCCAATGGGGTGAGCAAAATAATCTTATGTCAAAAACAAGATTATTTTGCTCACCCCATTGGCAGATTATTTTGCTTGTTTTTTTAAGGAACAACTCACTTAATTTTGGCATATTATATCTTAAAACAAGACAATGTGTTTTGCTTGTCCACAAAATGCTTCTTGATTTAAGAATTTTTAGATATTTGGACTCAAAACTAGACAAAAAAAATCTAAGAAAAGCATTTTTGCAGTGTACCGCATGTCTTTGGACTGTGGGGGAAACCGGAGCACCCGGAGGAAACCCACGCGAACGCAGGGAGAACATGCAAACTCCACACAGAAATGCCAACTGAGCCGAGGCTCGAACCACTTGCTGTGAGGCGACAGCACTACCTACTGTGAAACTGCTTAGCCCACTATTAAAATTACCATATTTTACTCATAACGTACAGAAGAAAAAATAGCAGTTACTAATAGCAGTTAATAATAATAGTAGTTTTAACTGCTAACCCCCCCCCCCCCCCACTTGGGGTGATTACCTTATATTAAAGACAAAGCATACTTATTTTATGGCACCAGGTTAAACTTTTTGACATCTTTTATGGCAGTCACGTACATTAAATATAAATACAGGCCACAGCTGACCTTGGAGGATAGTCTCCGAGTGGCGTTCTTCAAAATTAAAAGATGAATAGATCTGGAATAGACTTATATATTATAAGATTATATACATTTATAACCACCTCAGAGGACATTGGGGGTCACAAGTCACTGTTTTTTTGGGGGTCGCTGGCTGAAAAGTTTGGGAACCCCTGACCTACACTATACAACTGTATGTTGCGATCAGGGCCACCAATCTTGAGGCCCAAAAGGCAGTGTTTATTGTCAAATTACAAAATGAGGTTTGTTTTATTTGTTAAAAAAATTATTAAAAAAAAAAAAAAGTTCGTAATTTGCACTCTTGAGAAACTCCTATATTTTCTTCATTAGATCTGATAATAGCTCCTCCAAAAATGAAAATTATGTCATCACTTACTCACCGTTTACTTGTTTCAAACTATTATGAGTTTCTTTTATCTGTAAAGCTCCAAATAAGACATTTTGCAGAATGTTGGAAGCCTGTAACCACTGATCTGTATTTGTTTGTCCTACAATGGAAGCCAATGGTTACAGGTTTTTAACTTTCAACTTCAAAATATTTCCTTTAAGAAAAGAGTCACATGAGAGTAAGCAGTGAATAAATGTTCATTTTTAGGTAAACTATCCCTGTAAAACAAGCCCAATGGCGTATGTTGTCATATTTCACTCCTTTTTTAGGTAAATACTGAAAACATATACACTGTAATTAAGACACAAAACCACCTGTTTGTATTAGAGCGTAACATTCATTTTGGGGAAAGGCTAAGTGTAGTCAGAAAGTGGATTCCAATAAACAGAACATTAGGTTGTGCCCTGCTCTCGTGTTTGAGCGTCTCTCTCTTCATGTCTCTTACCTTCGAGAGAGGCATCACCAGAAAGGCTCCTCCTCCACTAGACTCCACTATAACTGCCAGAAACTTTGGGTTGACCGCGCAGAAAGAGCTGTCCCATGTCACTTTGGAAACCCGGATGTCATCGTAAGCTTGATCTGCCTTCACTGCCTGCCCAAAAACATGCCGGAACTTACTCTGGCGCACAATGCTGCGACTCATGGCTGTCAAACAAAAAAAAAAGAGAAAATATTCAGACATTAAAAATTATGAAAAATAAAATGAATTAATATATTCAATTTTGGTCAGATATGGACAACACAATCATTGGTATTTTAATAGATTGGTGGTTTTAGGTCTCATTTAAAAAAATCCCCTTCTGTCTCTTGCTTTTTGATTGTTATTAATTAATTTTAATCTGTTCTACTTATTTTACTTATACAGTTGAAGTCACAATTATTAGCCCCCCTTTGAATTTTTTTTTTCTTTTTTACATATTTCCTAAATGATGTTTAACAGAGCAAGGAAATTTTCACAGTATGTCCTATAACATTTTTTTTTTTGGTGAAAGTCTTATTTGTTTTATTTCAGATAGAATAAAAGCAGTTTTGAATTTTTTATAAACCACTTTAAGGTCAAAATTATCAGCCCCTTTAAGCTGTATTTTCTTGTATAGTCTACGTAAACCATCGTTATACAATGACTTGCATAATTGCCCTAATCTGCAAGGTAAACCTAATTAAGCCTTTAAATGTCACTTTAAGCTGTATAGAAGCGTCTTAGAAATGAGTTATTAAAACTATTATGCTTAGAAAAGTGTTAAAAAAAAAACTTCTCTCCATTAAACAGAAATAAGGAAAAAATAATAATCAGGGGGCTAATAATTCTGACTTTAACTGTGTGTGTGTGTGTGTGTGTGTGTGTGTGTGTGTGTGTGTGTGTGTGTGTGTGTGTGTGGGTGGGTGGGTGGATGGATGGATGGATGGATGGATGGATGGATGGATGGATGGATGGATGGATGGATGGATGGATGGAAGGAAGGATGGGTGGGTGGGTAAGTGGATAGATAGATAGATAGATAGATAGATAGATAGATAGATAGATAGATAGATAGATAGATAGATAGATAGATAGATAGATAGATAGATAGATAGATGGATGGATGGATGGATGGATGGATGGATGGATGGATGGATGGATGGATGGATGGATGGATGGATGGATGGATGGATGGATGGATGGGTGGATGGGTGGATGGGTGGGTGGGTAAGTGGATAGATAGATAGATAGATAGATAGATAGATAGATAGATAGATAGATAGATAGATAGATAGATAGATAGATAGATAGATAGATAGATAGATAGATAGATAGATAGATAGATAGATAGATGATAGATAGATAGATAGACAGACAGATATATTTGGTATGTTGGTCTTTGTAAAGCACTTTGGTCAACATCTGTTGTTTTTAAATGTGCAAACAAACAAATTGGTAAAAAAAAAGTTTTGGACATAGTAATAATTGCTCATTAATTACTATCACATTGGTCGTATTAACTTGTCTTTTGTCATTTAGATCATGATTTTCAACAATGTAAACGAAGCGTACTTTTTCAAAGAAACAAAGTTTTGTATACTGTAGTATAGTAAAGCATAAAATATGGTATAGAATAAAACAGATGTTATAGATGTAATATAAAAGAGACGCGTTGTTGATGAGACATTAATCTGGATTTACAGTCTATAGTTCGGTATTAACTAATGGCATTTCTTATAAAATTAAAGTAATAGTCATGTAGACTATCATTGCATACATTTCAGAGAGGTTTTTATTACTTTTCTGACACAATATGCAATATATACTACACCACAGTGACATGCAGTGAGGTTTGTGGCTGGTGAGAAACTGAGTCAGTCAAAAGTCAGATTTACAAACATATCCACCTGATATATTTGCCAGCTACCGATTGTGTTTCATATATCATATCAGCATTACTTCAATAGACCACTTCACTGTGGTCATACCATTGGCCCATGAACATTTCCTGCTTGTTATCAAACTATTTCAGAACTGTAACATGAGGCAATTCAATCATAACTTGTTAAAACAGCTATCATAACATTATTTGTAATATGTGGGGGGGGGTGTATTCTTGGAAGTTGTAGAAATGGAAAAACAAAGGTCTCAACAAAATTGTTATTGTTTACATTCCTTAAAATGGTCTATACACATGGCATGAACATATTGGGCCAAGGAAGGATGTAAAATGTATAGCAATTAAATATGCCTCTCAAAAAACACCCAGCTGGACGCTAAGGACAACTACAACAAGCAACACACACCGCCACACACAGCACCACGGTGGATGCGCTATATTGAAAGTCCAATTTTGAGAGAATGAATGAGTAGTTGTAACTTTATATTATGAATACATATTGCAACTGATTGTAATAATCTATATCTGTATCTGTAATGTTAACCAACTGTACATTTTTAATTGCTTATTAATGCCAGTAAGATGTTATTTTTTATAATTCTGATTCCTCTCAACTGCTATTTACTGTTTTAAAACACAGCTGCATATTAAAATTACATTAAAATATTCTGCTACAAATTTAAATTACACATTACATATTTTGAGATGGGGACGCAGTGGCGCAGTAGGTAGTGCTGTCGCCTCACAGCAAGAAAGTCGCTGGTTCGAACCTCGGATAAGCTGGCGTATCTGTGTGGAGTTGGCATGTTCTCCCTGCGTGGGTTTCCTCCGGGTGCTCCGGTTTCCCCCACAGTCCAAAGACATGCGGTACAGGTGATGTGGGTAGGCTAAATTGTCCGTAGTGTATGAGTGTGTGTGTGGATGTTTCCCAGAGATGGGTTGCGGCTGGAAGGGCAGCCGCTGCGTAAAAACTTGCTGGATAAGTTGGCGGTTCATTCTGCTGTGGCGACCCCGGATTAATAAAGGGACTAAGCCGACACAAAAGTGTGCAAGATGTCTAAGATCTTTACATGCAATGATCAAGAGATTTTAGAGACTGCATGTCATTTTGTTTCCATCCACCTATTTTATGCGCATTTTGCAAATGCGCATAAGAAAACCTGTTGATGGAAACACCATGATGCGCATAACTTTTGAAAATTCGCATAAAAAACATATGCGCCTAACTGGGTAGGATAAACTTTTTATTCGATTAGAAAAAATGCGCATAAACTGCGATGGAAACACTTTTACCGCACAAACTCCAGTATGCGCATTAAAAAAGGTCATGTGATTTTGTTAAAAGAGATCATGTGATGCTTAAAATGTGCGTGAATGGATAAAACGTCAGGCTGAGCACATTACAAAACATCGGAAATGTTGTTTTGGTCATTATAAAACGCCTTACCATTTCAGTATTACTGTTATTATATTATTAATGACCTCCAGATTCAAGAGCGCCTGTGCTCCGCGTCTGACACCTTCAAACGCCACTGCGCGCTCACTGCTTGTCAGGATTGTCTTCTGAGGCGCGTTCATTTAGAAAAGATTGATGCAGCTTCTCCTACTGCAGCAAATGCAGTTTTTACTGTTGATATTTGGCGCCAGTTAATCAGTAAGTGACGATATTGTTCGCTTTGACTCGTTGGATGGAAACGATGCTTCATTCGCACAACTTTTATGCAATAATCCAGTTTTGCGCATAAAGTTTATTCGCATTTTTGGATGGAAACATAGCTACTGATGAGAAGATGAATGTTTACTGTATGAGGACTCTAATCAGCAAATGACCTCATACTTTGAGAAATATCTACAACAGATACTTTCACTCTACCTGCACTACATTTCCGGGCAAGTAATGGTGCTTTTACTTAACCATGATTTTTCAGTACTCTTTACACCCCTGTTTGAATTCAACTTGTAGATATTAATAATTCTCATAATAATGCAGCATATTTGCTTATCAAAATTTATATAGTTAACAAAAACACAAGTGTTGTAACCCATTCTAGTAATAATGTAAGTTGAAACAACAGTACCAATTCAATTGTGCATAATTTACACAACTCTAAATGTAATTTTGCTATTCATTTACTCCACATCCAAGATGTACAGTGGGTTATTTTTGTTATACTTCGGTAGAACACTGAAGAAGGGTTTTAGCTTCAACTCTAGTGTTATTTCTTTAAAAAACACAAAAAAGTTTTGTCCATTTTGCTCCTGATGATATACTGAGACTTTATAAAGTTAAAATATTCCCAAGAAACTGAACATTTACGACATTATTAATTCCAGTCAGAAAGCAACCATGACACAAGAAAGAAAAAGTAAATATTCTTAAATATTGTAGATAAATAAAGTGAATATTGTTCAGTTATATACGCTGACTCGTGATTTTACTTATAAGACATCGTGAAGAGGAACAGGTAGGCTAATAAACTTAGTTTTGCCTGTAAATGAGCAATTCCAGCGTTATGGATGTGACATTTGCAGTAAAAACTCAAAACATAAATTCACATAGAAAGTATATGTTAACATTATATTGACACATCTGTTAATATTTTCCAGAACGACTGATCAAAAAAAAAATATCAATCTGTAAACAAGTTTTATATTTTATATGAGGAAAATAAACATGCGTTATGGATGTGACAAACAAGTCTGCGAGTTTACAGTATACAACATACTTTGTAGAAAATCTGTCAATTAAACTGCACAACCAGTTTATAAATGCAATTATAAATGTTACTTTATTTGGCATTCTTGCATTTATAAGGAAAAAAGTGTTGTTATGGATGTGACACTTTTCCGTTATGGATGTGACAGATGTGAAATTGCCACTTGTGTGATTTTGGTAAATTAAATATAATAGTTTTAAACACTGACAAAGACATTTACGAGTATTTTAAAATGTACTGTAAAATACTTGCTTACACAAATGTAGAAACGGTTTCTCTATTTTGGTGAAAACTTAAAATTTTTTTTTATGTCAAGCTTGACATTTGCATGGAATTGCTCATATGTTTTTTTGAGTCTCAAAGTGCTGATAGACAAGCAATTTATGAATCTACAAAGACCCCAGTTTCAGCTAAGAACAAAATTCGCTGATGTTTTAGCCTACTGGTGAAATACTGAACGTATCTATCCTTTACCAGGCCTGAGGACGAGTAAACTAATAACAAGTTTTCATTTTGGGTGAACTATCCCTTTAAACCCCGTTCAGAATGCAGTCTCTTTAAACCACACAACAGTTTGTCCCATGTGAGGAGGCCCCCACTGTCTTCAGACACGGTCACTTTCCTAATATAGTCATGCCAAACTGACCATGTGTCTGTCCCCTCCTGACAGGACCCTTCCACAATTACAAAGCGACAGAATATTGCTGAATATGCCCGTGCCAACACATACATACAGCGCTTTCCTGCTCAGTCAACTCCTGCTCGCACACCTGACTTTAATCATCCCCATTTCTCAATGAAGCAGCAACGCGCGCAGCCCTTATTTGAGTACGCAATGATGATGTCACAACCTGTTTGGAGCTGAACTTTACCAAACGCGTGTCATCACAATGCAGCATTTTATCGCGAGGAACTGCTTAACTGTCGGTCAGATGAATCACTTACCTGTGTTTTTGAGGAATACACGATGTTTCCGCTTTTAATCCTGCTCTCCCCCTTCCTCGAGACGGTAAACGGCTCCCCTTGACGCTGCACTTTACACAAGTGTGTCGTTTATCCCAGGTCACAAACTCGCAGAACTAACGTGAGTTCCTCCTCACTGGTCGTTCCTGAACATCCAGCAGAAGAGAGAAAGAGAGAGAAATCCATGCACTGGGGGACTGGACTAGAGAACAGACAGGGGTGCACATGTATGGCAAGCCATTTTTACAATAATCTTTGGAAGGCATCGATTGAGTAACACTAAATGAAATAGACCCCTGCTGAAAAAATCCAGCTTAAACCAGGCTGGTTTTAGAGGGGTTTTGGCCATTTCCAGGCTGGTTTCCAGCCATTTCCAGCCTGGTCTTAGCTGGTCAGGCTGGAAAATGACCAGCTAAAACCAGCTTGACCAGCCTGGTTTAAGCTGGACATAGCTGGTTTTAGCTGGGCTCCCAGCCTGGCTAAGCTGGTTTTGGCTGGTCATCTCCCAGCCTGACCAGCTAAGACCAGGCTGGAAATGGCTGGAAACCAGCCTGGAAATGGCCAAAACCCCTCTAAAACCAGCCTAGTCGACCAGCTAAAACCAGCTAACCAGCCTAGGCTGGTTTAAGCTGTTTTTTTCAGCAGGGACAAAAAAAAAAACACAAATAAAAACAGTGTGTGATCTAAACCTCCTGCAAGGTACATATAATAATATAAAAGGGGTTTTAAGGGTGCTTTCACACCTGTGAATCGATTCAGTTGTTCCGAAACAGAGATTACAAATGTTTCATTGTTGCTCTTTGCTCTTGGAGCGGTTCACTTTCACACTGCAAAGTTTCTAATCGGACCAAAAGAGCTAAAACAAGTCACGTGTGAGTAAACTCTCCTTACATTGGTCAGAGTGTCAGGGTTTATTTTGCAGAGTCCCGCTCAGCTGTCAGGAGAGGTGGTGGTTTGGTGGTGATTGACAAAGTGCGCGCGACATGTCTGGAGAGATGCGGTGGGAAGGGGTGAGAAGGGTGCGCAAAGTAGCCCATTTGAGGACCGGGAGGGAGACACGAGATTACCGGGAGATTATCACTCATTTGCGAGCATCTGGAGACTCGCGAAACTTCCCACCCTACTCCTAATTCTCTCTTCATATAGCCGTATGCCTATTACACAGCTCTCCAGGACTGAGTTTGGACACCACTGAACTAGCCGGACTGATGCTGAGTGATGAACCAACAAAGCCTAATAGCCAACCGACGACTTGGTGTGCCCCAGCACTTACAGGTGGGGTTTGGGGGTAAGTCTTTTTTTTTTTTAAATTATATTCAAATAAATAAAATATCGAGTTTGCATGCTCTCCCTGCGTTCGCGTGGGTTTCCTCCGCGTGCTCCAGTTTCCCCCCACAGTCCAAAGACATGCGGTACAGGTGAATTGGGTAGGCTAAATTGTCCCTAGTGTATGAGTGTGTGTGCTGGTTCGAACCTCGGATAAGTTGGCGTTTCTGTGTGGAGTTTTCATGTTCTCCCTGCGTGGGTTTCCTCCGGGTGCTCCGGTTTCCCCCACAGTCCAAAGACATGCGGTACTGGTGATGTGGGTAGGCTAAATTGTCCGTAGTGTATGAGTGTGTGTGTGGATGTTTCCCAGAGATGGGTTGCGGCTGGAAGGGCATCCGCTGCGTAAAAACTTGCTGGATAAGTTGGTGGTTCATTCCGCTGTGGCGACCCCGAATTAATAAAGGGACTAAGCCGACAAGAAAATGAATGAATGAATAAAATGTTGTTTATTTGTATAAGAATTAGGCACTTTTCAGACAATACATAATATAATTAGATTTCCTCATAAGATTGTGCTGCTGTTTCACATGTGATTTTAACACAAGAAATTCATGTGACACTCATTTGGCTTTTCTGTAAAGGTATTATCATGATCTGGGAAAACATTGCTTAATTCATCTAGAACCTTGCACTGGTCGTGATGTACTGCTAATAATATTTATAAACCAAGTAAAAATGATCATGTTTTGTCAGGTTCATTATCATTATAAAAATTATTTCAAAAATCATTATAAATCAGGCCAGTTTGACGAGCACACATCTATTTGTGTCATATGAATGACCTAAAATGATGAACTTGTGTTATAAGTCTTGCACACTCTGAATATTCCTGCAATGGAAAACCGAAAAACTAAATCGACCAATAAGAATCAAGCAATAGCGATACTTAAATGAAAAACAGATTTACAATTGGATTACTCACAAAAAATTTCACAGACATTAAAACACACTGAATGTGAAAATGGCTTGCCATAGAGAATGAGCAGGGGGGTCAAGGCGGTCCTGTCTATTTTGGAATTGGCTGTCGGTGTCGGGCTATTTCTCTCGGGCCGGTGACAGGGCTATAGATTGCAGTGGGAGCACAGACACCGAGGTCAGGTGGCTGAGAACACAGCATGAACCCTGCATTTCACACTCTTGATTTTAATTATATGGATGCTTAAAATATACAATAAGATATAATCCCACAGATATGTCAAACGGTTTATTTGATTTAGAGTTTCTAAAGAGTTTCTGCTCAGTTAAAACAGTTTTGTCAGGTTTGAATCAAAATATTTTTGAGTATTATGAGTTTAACATTTTACAATAAGGTTGTATTTGTTAATGTTACACAATGTATTTATTAACATGAATAATACCTTTATTGCAGTATTTATTCATCTTTAGTTTATTGAAAATAGTTATTATTATAAAATGTAAGCTAATGTTAACTCATAGAGCATTAACCAGTGCTAAGCATTAATTTATGCATTGGTACACGTTGACTATTAAGTGCTGTACAAGTATTGTTGATGATTAATTCTCTGAATACATGAACAAATAATAACTAATAAATATTAAAAGTTAATATTAGTTAATAAAGTTAGTATTAGTTAGTAAATAGTATTATTTAATAAAACCTTATGTTGTGACAGTATATTCCTAAGTGTTCATGATATCTCAATCAAATTTTTTATTATTATTAAATAGTCTTACACTCACAGGCCACTTTATTAGGTACAGGTGTTCAACTGCTTGTGAACGCAAATTTCTAATCAGCCAATCACAAAGCAGCAACTCAGTGCATTTAGGCATGTAGACATGACCAAGACGATCTGCTGCAGTTCAAACCGAGCATCAGAATGGGGAAGAAAGGTGATTTTAAGTGGCTCTGAACATGCCATACTCTGAGTATTTCAGAAACTGCTGATCTCCTGGGATTTTCACGCACAGCCATCTCTAGGGTTTACAGAGTATGGTCCGAAAAAGAGAAATTATTCAGTGAGTGGTGGGTGCAAATGCCTCGTTGATGCCAAAAGTCAGAGGAGAACGGCCTGACTGGTTCCAGCTAATAGAAAGGCTAACTCAAACAACAGGCCCGGATTGGCTAATCGGGAGGACCAGGAGAATTCCCGGTGGGCCGGTCCATTTTTCGGCCGCGAGGGCCGTTGTCCCTAGCTCCAGAATCTGTTGCTCTCAGCAGTCACACTTTTTAAATTAATTTATTCATTTACTTGACCACAGTCTTCTTATTCATTATTTTACTGCAGCTCTACTCTTTTTATATATAAACAGCCTGCAGGTTAATGATCATATGACTCAGATGAGTCACTTCTCAATATACAAGTGTTGTGGTCCAGTGATTAGCACGTAAGATTATGACGCTGCCGACCTGGGTTTGATCCTTGTCTGAGTACGATATTTTTTTCTTTTTTTCATCTTTATTGTTACGACATACAAATTGATCCTCGTCTGAGTATGTTATTATTTTCATTTTTATTGTTGAGACGTATAATACTGTTTGGGTTGTTGAACATTTGAAGTTCTAAAGCAGCTGTTTTCTCAAAAAAAGACGTGATAGTGTCATTAGAAACTGAATTGGAAATGACCTTATTTTAATATAGTCAGTCGTGAACTGAGGTGGGCCGGTCTGAGGCTTAACTCCAGGGCTGAAAAAGAGTCCCACTCCGGCCCTGTCAAACAACCACTCGTTACAACCGAAATATGCAGAAGAGCATCTCTGAACACACAACACGTCAATCCTTGAGGCGGATGGGCTACAGCATCAGTAGACCACACCGGGTGCCACTCCTGTCAGCTAAGAATACTGAGGCTACAATTCACACAGGCTCACCAAAACTGGACAATAGAAGATTGGGAAAGCATTGCCTGGTCTGATGAGTCTCCATTTCTGCTGCTACATTCGAATGGTAGTGTCAGAATTTGGCATCAACAGCATGAAAGCATGGATCCATCCTGCCTTGTATCAATGGTTCAGGCTGATGGTGGTGGTGTAATGGTGTGAGGGATATTTTCTTTAGGCCCATTACTTTCAATTGAGCATCATGTCAATGCCTCAGCCTACCTGAGTATTGTTGCTGACCATGTCCATCCCTTTATGACCACAGTGTACCAATCTCCTGACGGCTACTTCCTGCAAGATAATACCCCATGTGATAAAGCATGAATCCTCTCAGAAAAATCACAATTCACTGTACTCAAATGGCCTACACAGTTACCAGATCTAAATCCAATAGAGCACCTTTGGGGTGTGATGGAACGGGAGATTTGCATCATGGATGTGCAGCCGACAAATCTGCAGCAACTGCGTGATGCTATCATGTCAGTATGGAGCAAAAACTTAAGAATATTTTTCCAATACCTTGTTGAATCTATACCACGAAGGATTAAGGCAGTTCTGAAGGCAAAAGGGGTCCAACCTGGTACTAGCAAGGTGCACCGAATAAAGTGGCCAGTGAGTATTTAAGTGGTGACCACAATCTACAATTTCCTAACATTTGAGGTCACAGCTTAGTCCTATTTAAAGTTAACAGGGCAGCATATATAGTTACAAATATTCTAAAATGCAGTATGACATTTTTTTTTTAATAAAACAGAAAAATGAAAGTAAATTCCTTAATTATGAGAAAATCTGTATTTAACTGTCATCTCTGAACAGTGTACGGATCATAAAATGTGTCATAAGTGAAGTTTATGTATTAACTAATTTCGAGAGGATCACGTGCTTATGATTGCTAGCGGCTGGATCCGCATTATCCAATTCACTACGCTCCAATCAGATGACTCCTAAACTACAATATATACCCTGGGGTTCATTCCACTGCTATCTTCGTTTTGAAGAGTCCCCCCTTCCTCCCCTACTCCTCCTCCTTAGACGGGTGACACGGTGGCCCAGTGCGTAGCACTGTCGCCTCACAGCAAGAATGTCTCTGGTTCCTGGCTTTACCAAACTAGCAGACATTTCTATGTGGAGTTTGCACTTCTCCCCGTGCTCACGTGGGTTTCCCCCGGGTTCCCCGGTTTCCTCCCACCGCCTAAAAACATGCAATTAAGTCAACTGAACAATCCAAATTGGCACCATAGACACGCTTCTAGTATGTAGTTATTTCAAAAGCAATCACTTGCTACAGCAGGGGAGTTCTCGAGATCTACCTGAGCTCAAACTCCCCTCCCGTTGCCCTGGGCTCGAGGATCTCATGAGCTCAGGGCTCTCTCCCGGGACAGCATGCCAAACAAGCTTTTATAATTAATCATCAGCTAAGTGTGAACTCTTGAAAACACAGCCGGACAAAACACCAAATATGCATTGTGCATTTGGAATTTTCTTTAATTGTCACAGTTTAAGCACAATAAAAAGAAACAATTTCCAGTCTTACAACAATCAAAGACACATTTCACTTTTCTTTCTGTCTTTTTTGCACTGTACAACAAAAACCCTTACAGGCAACTCTAAATACATACTCCGTGAGCATGCGTCCAGAATACAAACCACAGTTTAAAAAAATGTAAAACAACAATAAAAAGTGCATATTAAAATCCTCCTCGCCTCTTTTTGTTGTCTTTTTTTTAACAAAACAGAAAATGCTGAATGAAGAAACTGCACTGAAGTCGAAAACGGACAGAAACTGCACACACGCCCATGTTAAAGTATACATATCATACACATCCACAAAATATACATTTGCACACTTACTGTAGGCCCATAAACTCTACATTCTACGAGTACCACAGAACTGATCCCATTCTCAATAAACCAACATGCACACACATAATAATCTCATATCTGTAATAATTTTACACTCACTATTACATGTCATTCATTTCTGAATGAATTTAAGCACACTCATCTGAAACCTCCAGCACACACGCACGCGCACATACACCTCCAGAATATTGTGGTTTTCGTTCATAGACTTGACAGGTAAAGGATGAAATGGTAATGTATTGTATTACCCCGGTATTCAAAGAACGACCTGATAGACGCTGTGCAAAAAGTACATCAGTCAAAGCACTTTGTTGTTCTTCCAGAGCAGCGATATTCTTTCTACTCGAATGATGGGTCGGACTCCACGATTTGGGTTTATTGGGCCATCAATCCCAGCTAAAAACATTCAAAATCACATTGTGCTCTAAAATGTCCACGCTGTTTGATTCGCGGTTGGATAAGGCCCACTGAGGTATGCGTGGCAGATAATTCACCCAAAAATGATCATGCTTGAATCATCCGGGCTCATCTTAAAGGGGTAGTTCACTCAAATCTGAAAATTCTGTCTCGATTTACTCATTATTCACTTGATTTGAGTTTTTGTTGAAGTTACTTTGAAAAATGTTGAGAAGCTTGCAGCCATAGACTTCATATGTATTTGTTTTCCCCACTATGGAAGTCTCAGGTTCCTCAAACATTCCTCAAAATATCTTCTTTTGTATTCGACCGAACAAAAAGCAAACACAGAACAAGGTTTGGAAACACTTGAGGGAGGGTAAACAGCGAGTAAACTTTCACACCCGGGTGAAATATCTCTTTAAAGGTGCAGTAGGTGATTGTCTTCAGAAACATGTTTTGTTGTGCTGGTTGAAAGTCTCTTCACAGTCTAGTAATGATTACAGTAAATGATCTAAATGTGTTTATATGTATTTTTATATTCTGGGTAAAGCATAAAACTAAAAAATGTTCATCAAGAGTCGGACCGTCATCTCCCTTAATTCCGATAAGCTGGTCAGACTGTCTGTCAGCAAATGTAGATTCTGACTTCTGTGCATGTGTTCATGCAGATCCTCTATTAGTGCATGCCCGTCTGCATCACAAACGCATGTGCGCGAGCGAGCTGCGGGCCGCTCGCAGATGCCCAGTCGGAGCCGGAGGCAGCGAAGGACAGCCGAGCTCGGGCCGATTACTGTAAAGCCAGGCGCGGGTATAAAGTGGCCGCGCGGTCACGAGACCGACCCGGAGAAATCAAATGCTAAATTGAAACTTTTAAATACCTGAATCAATATTGGAGTTACTTTAGCACGCTGGAGGAAGGACGACACCATGGCTGAAGTATACCTGTTAGACAGGTCATGTTCTGTTTTGAAGCTATTTTATGTTAGATTGTGTTATGAATGACTTGCACAGACGTGTTGTTCAGCCACTGAAATCTCCCGGTGAAAGATTGATGTGATTATTTTCAGTTCCATAAGGTTCTTTGACAGCATCTATAATGTAGATTTATATTTAGTTTAACAACAAAACACCAGTAAATAGCCTAATAAATAATAAATAAATAAAGCCTAACCTGCTTTATTGATTTGAGGTTGCTTTTATATTCACATTGGGTCATTTTTGAACAATGATAGCCTTCCTATGCTGTTTACCGCTAACGTTACTCTGAATATTCGCTCTGAAATAGCATGTAAGTGTGGCTAAGTAATAAACGTAATTCCTGCACGGTGCTGGCACTAGCTAACTGGCGAATGACATGAACAAGTGGGTTGTCTGTCGGCTGTTGTGACGCGGTGCGCGCGCTCGCGATTTCAGGGGGTGTGGCTTTGAATAACAGTCCCTCCCGTCCAAAGATAATATGCCAAGCGGTTAGCTTTTTGGCAGATCACCTACTGCACCTTTAATGCTGGTCCAAACCTGTGAGATGTTGCATATTATTTGTAAAAGTGAAAGTGATTGGAGTTACCCCACTCACTTTCATTGTAACCCCCCCCCCAATCCCACAATATCTTCAAGAGAAGAAGACTGGTCATACAGGTCTGGACTGACATCAATGTGACTAAATGATGACAAACCTTTCGTCTTTGAGTGAGCCTTCCCTTTAATCACAAACTCACACTGGCAGGCACAAACACACATTCTCACACACACACACACAGAATAGAAGTCACATAGTGTGGTAAGGGTTAACGGTCCGTTTCTTCAGTCTCCGCAGGGGATGGGTCCTCCCATATTGTTGGCGTGTTGCCACAGGTATCAAGGTCGAAGCAGGTAACGGGGCGCATCCTGCCTCCTCCTGTGCATTTCCCCCCCTCCAACACTGATTGGAGGGCGGGGAGTGTGGCAGTGGCATGGGCATGACATCATTGTCACTGTATTCCCCCTCTTCAGTCGTGTCATCGTTTTCTGCATGTCCAAGCATAGGAGATCCAGTGGAAGAAACAGGGGAGGCAGAAGAGGAAGGGAGGGGAGCAGGAGTGCAGTGGGGTAAAACGCGCTGCTTTTTTGAGGTATCGTCACTGTATGAATTGGGCCGAGGCTTATTGGTGGGAGCAGAGAGTAAGGCAGGACTCAAGTCAAGTTCGCTCAGGTCAATAGGCGAGATCTCCAGCGACCCAAGCTTGGCCAACGAGGCTGAACGCTTCATCTTTGAGGGTGGGGTCAGTCCAGCCTGCCGGATCCGAGCCTCCACCTCTTTGGTCCTCTCTCGAGCAGCCCGGCCTTTCCTTTGCTCCCTCCTAGACCACGGTTGGCTGAGCCTCCTGTCGGAGCAGTTGCTCACCTGCCAGAGAAACGCCCCGAGCTCTTTTAGGGTCTCCCAGGTTTCCCTCATGTCCTTCGGACAGCGAGAATCCGTGTAACTCTCCTGCTCTGTGATGCCCTCGAGCTGGAGAACCAGAGGCGGAGAGCAACTGGACGAGTGCGAATGGCTTTGTCTCGAGTGTGTGAGGCCGGTGTTCCTGTGCTCTCCTTCCCTGAGTCGTCTCTCGCTTTCACTTCCCTCTTCAAATGAAAAACTCCGGTCTTTCTCCACCTTGTGGTACTGAGGCTGGTGATGGCGTGTTGACACAGTGTTTGGATCAGGTGTGAGGTGTGTGTGGGATGAGGTCTCCTCAGTTTTCTCCATGCTGCTGGTGTTGACGGGGGAGCGTCGCGAGGGACACACGGGAGCAGAGGACACCAGCGCTACTGACGAGACCTCCTGCTTGATCTTTTGCTCCAGCTCCCGGGTGGCTCGCCACACTGTGCCCTTAGGCCAGTCTTTCCCATGCTCCACCTTCTCCATTTCAGCTTCTGCTGACATGACTTGAGCAAACTCCTCTTCCTCACTGCTGCTACTGGAAACAGGTTGACTGGTTGGAGGGGGGGAAGGGGTTACATTGTGCCATGTGGACTCCACTCCGGACATTTTGCTATGGACTGAGACACTGCAGCTCTCCTGTAGCAGGAAAACAGAAGCATTGGGGGTCATTTGTATTGAATACATATCTCCATGACTTAGTGATTTAAAGGTGAAGTGTTTAATTTCTGTGCTTTCAAAGGCAGAAACACAGAATTACAAAAATAAGTGGATTTTAGGATTTTCAAGAAAATGAGCTTGTTTGGACATGCCAAACTCACAGCCTTGAGATTCAGGGGTTTGTAGTTACTATGTGATTGCTATCCACTTGTTAAGTGGTGACGTGTTGGTGATGTATGTTATACTGTTTCCGGGTCCAAGCCGCCACTCATTTGGGTTGGAAATCATTCGTTTATGATCACTTTTTATTCCTATCACACATTAAAGTAAGTTTTATATAAAGTCATAGTGTACACAACAATCTCTGGGCTTGCTGCATCACAAATACCAACATTTTAACAATTTATAAAACAAAATGAATCACTTTCTGGCATCGGATATTAGGCATGATATAGCAATCGTGACTTTCGAAAGTATTAAATCGCTTTGTAAACGTTCATTATTACCATTTCACGAGTCTCCCCATTCAGTAGAATAGAGCGCTTGGACCCGGAAGCCGCTTGGCGTGACGTCATGCTTAACAAGCGGGTAATATTCCGGCTGGTGGAGTAAATCCCAACAGACGCATATCTAAAAAGCAGTCTGACTTTGTCATGTTGATGGAATCGTGAAAAAGGTCATTCTGTCAGATGATTGGTTATTATTAACCCCCAAAACTTAACACAAGACAGATGCTGCCTTTAAGTTAACAAGCAATATGTTTAAAAACATTCAATTATTTATATGCTAGTAAAATGACTTCAGAAGTCCAGTGACTTGATTTTTGAGGATGTTTTTGGTACCTTTTTTGGTCTTTTGACTCTTGCCATCCTTGGAGGATCAGAGTTCTCCAATTTCATGCAAAATATCTCAATTAGAATTCAAAAGATGAACAAATATCAGAATTTTTAGATTTTTGCTGTGCAATCCCTTTAAAATGATCTGAGATCATTTCTCTTGAAGACACTATATGGAAACACTATATTTGCTAATTATTTGTTACATTCAGATTTGATTGATAGTTAACTAGAATAATACAAAGCAGGTGCAAGTCATATATATATATATATATGTACTTTTCGTTAAAGGTGCAGTATGTAAGTTTGACACCCAGTGGTTGCACTAGGTATTGCATCTATTGATCAAAACATGCAAGCACAGGCTGCCAGATTAAGGACCAACAGGAGCGAGTCTGACTATCAAGCCTAAAGGCTGATTTAAATTGTGTCCTATATAAAAGCAATGGCACCAATAGAAGAAATAATTTCCATATTTTAAAAGGAGTTTTTCTCCTAACCAACACCTCAAATTGATATATTAGAAACGGCTTCTATTTCTCACAGGCGAACAACAGAAAAATGACAATGATCACCTCAGGTACACCTCATGTGTTTATTCAGTGCTGAATGCTAATAATGTGAGTTTAAAAGTCATTTCACATGACATTTATTGCTATACTACTGAAAGCGGCAGCAGATAGTTCACCTTAGATCTTAAAAATAAACTGTTTGAAATTGAACTTGCAAACCAACACATATTAGTGATTTTGCATGTAAATTTAATAATGTTAAAGAGGTTTAATATATATCAATTAGATTAGAAACCGCGCCATTTTGTGTGAGTGCAGTAAGTGCACTATTCTGTGCTTCAGAATGGCTGTATTTAAATTTCTGTCGAGTTTCATCTGGTGCAAACAGCCAAACTGCTTATCCCTGCAAATTTCGTCACATACCGTGTTGTTAAGACACAGGGTTACAATGTAAACCTGCTCACCTAATTTCTACATTCTTAATATTTATATTATTTGCTAGTTAATAAACTCTTGTGGAACTCTGAATCTGCGTCTTATTTCAGAGTCTGCTACTCTCCACGGAAGGTCGCAGGCGCATGCTTTTAGAGCCTTTCTGAATGAATGAAATACTCTTGTTTTCCAACAAGGCAACCCAGGGTGCTGAAATATAATTGGCTAAAGTGGCATTGGGCGGGTTAAAAGAACCAAAACAAAGACAGTCGTTCTGGCATGTAACGTACATTTTCAAAGCAGAATAACTGACTTTAGCATTGTCTTTCAGATAAATAAGAATGTTCACTTAGCATGTTTCTTAAATATCTATAAACATATCCTGGTACTTTTATGCTTTAGAAAAATTCCAAAACTTACATACAGCACCTTCAACCAGGAACATTACACCGGAAAGAGTAAAAAGCATTTTGACCTCACAAAATTACACACTTCACCTTTTGGTCCATGAGGGCATGAAACCTAAATGCTACAGCATTGCACTGATCGACACCATGACAGATGAAGGATCCCATGCATAATCGCTCATGAACAGTGGGTGGCAGTGTGAGGCATGACACTTGATTCAAACATGGTTGTGGTCACACACGGTATGGGAACAGAACCTGATTTTAATAAAGTTTCACACTTACTCTCTGGAAAATTATTCCCTTGCTGCGGGACAATAACATGGTATTAAAACAGATGCAGGCAAAGCTTTGTACAGCTGTCTACATAAACTTAGATATTTAGCGCAAAGGTGTTGTGCATTTATATATGGCCAAAAGCATAACAAAAGCAACACATTTTGCCTTGTTTACTTACAGTTGAAGTCAGAATTATTAGCCCCTTTAGATTTTTTTTCTTTTTCAAATGTTTTCCAAATGAGCAACAAAATTTCTACAATGTGTCTGATAATATTTTTTCTTCTGAAGAAAGTCTTAGTTGTTTAATTTTGGCAAAAAAAAGCACTTTTTAATTTTTCAAAAGCCATTTTAAGGTCAATATTATTAGCCCCTTTAAGCTATTTTTTTTTCCAACAGAACAAACTATCATTATACAATAACTTGCCTATTAACCCTATCCTGCCTAGTCAACCTAATTAGCCTAGTTAATTAGTTAAATGTCACTTTAAGCTGTATAGAAGTGTCTTGAAAAATATCTAGTCAAATATTATTTACTGTCATCATGGCAAAGATAAAATAAATCAGTTATTAGAGATGAGTTGTTAAAACTATTATGTTTAGAAATGTGTTGAAAAAAATCTCTCCGTTAAACAGAAAATTGGGGAAAAAATTAACAGGGGGGCTAATAATTCTGACTTCAACTGTAAGTTCATGTATAAGCTTGGGTAGTAAATATTTAAAGGTATAGTTGCTCAAAAATTCTGTCATCACTTACCCTTATGTGGTTTCAAACCTGTATGAGAAATGAAGATATAAAATGAAAGTCAATGGAAACCAACACAATATTGCTTCCCCTGACTTTTATTTTACGGACACAAGAAAAAGCAATCTCTTTATTTTTTATTTCAACTGGTTTGGAATGACATGAAGGAAAATAAATGATGACAGAATCTTCTATCCCTAGGGCTGCACAATGTATTGTTTCAGCATTGATATCACAAACTGTACATCCGCAATAATCACATCGCAGGATATGCAATGTTGAATTGGTATTATAGTTGATTCCCAACACAGTTAAGACCACATGAGTCGTCTAGTCATTGCAGATTTTAACCATAATGGAGTAAAAGTTTATCATTTGCGTTTGTTTTAGGGCAATTCAAGAGAGAATATGTGCACAAAAGATTACAACGCTTGTAACTTAAACAAAGAATCATTGGTTAATACTTTATAATAACTACACATTGTGAATCATCTATTACGCATTAGCAAACAGTTAATTCATTATCTACTACGCATTAACTGCACATTAATAGATGTTAGTAAGCAGTTTACAAATGCAGCTACAAACGCTGATTTCTTGACATAAGCACATCTATAATGTGCTTAATAAAATTTGTAAAATTTATTTACCAAAATTAGTAAAAACTGTAGCACTATTGTATAATGTACAATGGATATATTATATAACACACTTATGTTGCCATTCTTGAGTTATTGGGTTGAAATTTGGGGGAATACATATAAATCTAATTTACGATCCATATGTACACTGTAAAAAATGTCCGTAATTTCAACAGTAAAAAACTGTAAAAATGCTACAGTACAAATCCGTAACCTGGTTAACGGTATGTTTCCTTAATATATACGGCGAATAACCGTAAATTGACTTTCCCAGAATTCCCTGCATGACACATCACTTTTTATGCATTTGGTTGACATTAATATGGATCTTTGTAGTTGTTTTCCTCATCAGTTATGTACATAAGAGATTTATGTTACATCTAATGTTGATAAGCAATGTTTATTTCATGACTTTAATTTTATGCGTGTTACCATACTGGTGTTTAGTAGCTGTGTGAATGACACTGAGCACCTTCTATATGCTGATACTCTTTTCTGCTTGTGGGAAAAGTAGATTGTGATGAGCTTTGGCTCTTTATGTAACTCCATCATCACCACCTGTATGTGGGTGTGCTAACGTGTCTAACTGTGAAACAAAAGATGTGTAGATGTTGATCATTCAAAATACAGACATATTACCTCTATTAATTAATAAATACAGTAATTTACCGTAAAAATGCAAAATTACTTCTACGCTTTGTACCGTGTTTTAAACGGTAAAGTACTGGCAACCACAGCTGCTGGTTTTTACCGTAAATGTTACGGATTTATTTTTTACTGTGTGCATTGCAGAAAAAAGTAATTAGACTGATAGAACGTGGGGTATTTGGAGCATACAAATCCTTTATTTTTTTAAATTAAAGATACTTAAGTTCAACGATTCGGTCAAATTTAAAACAGCACAATTCATGTTTAAAGCTAGCAATAAAATACTTCCTAAATGTACACAAAAGTTTTTTTCAAGAACGACAAGGGGGATATAACCTGAGAGAAGAACTAAATTTTAGGAGGTTGAAAACAAGAACAACTTTAAAAAGTTTGTGTATGTTTGTATGTGGTGTAAAACTATGGAACAGTCTAGATCAGACTCTAAAACAACGTCAGGATATGAATCAATTTAAACAACTGTGTAAATATTTATTAGTAATGGAATATAATGATGAAGGTTTTTGAAAAAGGATAAAAAGAGAAAGGTATGATGAAATTTTAATTAATGGCTATTTGCACTACTATGTTGTTGTTGTTTTTTCCTATTCTATTTGCAGTACTATGCTTTTTTTTCTTTTTTTGTCTTCCTTGGGTCTGTTACAAAATGAAAAGGTACAAATAGAATCAAACATATTATTTGTCAAAGATGCCAAAAGGATCAAATATGTTTCATGTAAAAAGAAGAGATTAGTAAAAGTAAATAAGTAAAAGAAGTTTAAGTAATAAACGAATGAAGTATGTGGTAATGGGGTGGGAGAATAAGCTTGTGCTTCATCCTGCTCCATTTTCGACCATGTTTAAATGTATTTTTTTGTTAATGATATTTTCTGTCTGATGTTTTTGTTCGAAAAGAAATAAATCAAATCAAATCAAATACTGTATTTTCATACTTTGTTAATGATTAAAGTATTGCATGTTTTACAAACTAGTTATTTAAGAATAGTTGGTGCTACTTTAAGATTATTCAGAATGCACAAGGAAATAATTAATAAAATATTCAAATTAACATTATATAACTTTTGCCTGAACTATTCAGGCATATAGTAACAGTTAATTTGTATATTAATAAATGATTTATCAAGTCAACTTTATCTAGTCTTGGGACCTAAAGTGAGGACTATTTATGCTTTATAAATCTCTTATAAATGACAATCAAAGGCTTATTTATATTCTAAACAGGACAAAACAAAAATGATGAACAAAACTTTATTAATTTATATTCATTTCAAGATACACAAATGAAAAATAAATCTTTGCAATCTTCACTAAAATGTAATTACTGTGCAGGTTAAACTTCGCAAAATAACTTTGTAAGGTTGTATCATACTATATTGTTAAATTATTTTATTGTTGTTGTTTTATCCAATTTTATTTTATTGTATTTATTTCTAATTTAATTTTGACACTTCTGTTATTCGGCAATGAACAGATACTGAATGAACTATTTGCTAATGCTTAATAGATGATTCACAGTGTGTAGTAATTATAAAGTGTTGCTGATTAATTTTACTGAATGATGTATGCAATTAGGACGACAGTAGTCAAAAATAAAAGTGGATCAAAACCTTTCATCATAGTAGTCCTATAACTATATTGAACAACACACATTCTTGTTTCAGGACAAATCTGAAAAAACTTGTTTGATCCACTTTAAATGCTGACTACTACAATGTTTAACACAGATCATTCTAAAAACTTAGTCTCACTGACGTTTCTGAAGACCGCAAATTATGTAGCCGGAGGTACATATGGCTGCATTTCATTTTTTTTAAGCGAACGCCATGGGGCGGTATGACGCCTTTCATTATGGCGGCTACCAACTGACCGCTTACCTCCGTGTAGAGGGCTTTCCCGCCGCAACCAGTTTGTCCAGTTAGCTCATTGTGTACTTTGATGGACTTGGGACGCAGAGAGGAGTTGACCACGACTACAAGCAAGTCCGGGGAAGAGCGGTTTCAGAAATCAGGTAAGACGAAAACAGAATTAAATGAACGAGTAAACAACAGGGTGAGAATGCAGTAAAATCCGAAAACGTAGTAAAAATCAGAAGAGGACGGCTTTTGTAAACCGTCGGTTTGCTTTAGGGAAGTAAGCGGGCGGGTCAATCGGTAAAATTGGTTAGGTTTAGGGAAGGAGGAGGGTGGGTAGGTCCATTGGCTGGTCACCCCGTCAGTCATTCAGACAGTCGACAGCTGCCTCTGGTGGGTTTACGCGAGAACAGCGCGGGCGCGACATTTGAGATGCGAAAAAGTGCACAGCGGCCTCTCTCAGATTCACGAAAATAAAAACTGCAAAAAAATGTACCTTCCGGGATTTTGCGGTCTCCAGAAACGTCCACGGGACTGCGTTTTCAGAATGAGCCTGGGTTGTACATTTACTTAAAATTTGATTATTCAATTGTGCTACTTGAACACTGTTTGGCTCAGAAACACTGTTTGTTTCACTTTATTATATTAATTTATGCATACGAATTGTTAATTTTATTTTCATATATTTAATGATTGGTTTCCAAATAGAGCTCTTCAAGTCATCTGGTGAAACTGTATTCATATCGCAAAATACATGTATTGTAGAAAAACAAAACATTGCCATGTCAGATTTTTCCAAAATGGTGCAGCCCTAATCCCTACTATGGAAACTTCGATTTTTGGTTATTCTACATTACCCCCTTACCTTTTTCTGTTCCTCCTCTTTGATGGGGTTGTCAGGAAGCAGCCGTTTGGTCTCTACACTTGGACTTTTGTCCCGAGGCGCCTGCCCTACCACCTGGTCAGTCCCGCGGATCTCTTGAGAAAGGCCCTGGAACTTCTCTCTGGCACTGAAGAAGTCAATGCGATCGATGCTTAGAGTGGAGGGAGGCGTGGGCGTGAGCTCAGCCCTTTGTAATGTGGCACTGGGGTGGTGGTCCTCATCACTGCTGTGACTTAACCCCGCACAGTCTGTCTCCATGTTAGGCACTTGCTGGCTGAGATCCTGGAGCCCTGGGGAGTCCAGGGCCTGTGTGCATGGCTCAGGAGTCCTAATGTTTACAGATGAGTGCACCTTTGGACTAGACTTCTCCAAAGGCACAAGATTGGACACCTCAGGCAGGCCTTGCTTGGCCTTTGCATCTGAGAGAAGCTTGGGGGACGAGGGTGGGTGAAGTACAGCAGGGGGCGGATGAGGACGTCCTGGTGAGACCGTCTCAGTAACAGTCACAGAGGTGATATCAGGTCTGGCTTCTGGGACCACAGTGGCAGCCCTGGGCCTGGGGAAGGAAAGCGTCTCGGTGGCTTCGTGGAGGGTTCCGTTGTGAATGTGGCTATCGGACCAGCGTGTTGTGTTGGGCTCAACCGGTCTGTTAGACCCAGTAGCAGTAGCTGAGGAAGGGGTGAGAGTCTGTAGTAGCTCCTGTATTGAGGGTGAAGTCTGGCCGAAGGTCTGATTGCGGGAACTGGACCGCCCTAGAGACTGTGCGGCAGTAGCTTTACAGAGTGGCTCGAGTCGCTCCGAAAGATCACTATCTGAGTGGGAACGCCACAATTTATTGTGTCTCTGTTTGCTATTTTGAAAAAAAAAGACAAAGAAAAGGTAGAATAAGCAAAATATGTATGGCTGGAAATAATCAGAGTTTTACAATTGAACTGTGTGGCTTGAATATTATTTAATGTTACATATATATATTTTAAGAGATGTTCATTTGATCAGAAAAACACCAATGACCGTAAACATTCATTTTCCTTCGATTTAATCTTAATTTAAGATTTTAGAAGATCTAAAATCTTCTCTCGGTCAAACAGAAATTTGGGAAACAAATAAACAGGGCTGCTAATAATTCAGGGGGGCTAATAATTCTGACTTCAACTGTATATAGTGCGTTCAAAATATTTCACAGCTCATTTGCTTCTTTAAGACCTAAACATAAACGTGAATAACCCCATTGACTAATTTTACAGGAAGTACAAAGTGCATTGTGCACATGCATACCCGCCCACACTAAAGCCCACATGCACAAACCTACAACTTCAGAGAAGCAAGCAGACAATCAAAGACGCGCGAGTTACTAAGTGGAATGTGGTCAAACAGCCACTGTAACTTCTCAATGGATACAACCAGAGCCCTGTAATCAACTGTGATGAGAACCATGTCATTACAGTGAAGCTGAACATGTCTGTGGTCATTGGAGTATGTGGCATACCTGCATGTTAAAATGTATGAATGCACACAGGCCCGGATTGGCTAATCGGGAGGACCGGGAGAATTCCCAGTGGGCCGGTCCGTTTTTTGGCGAGAGCCGGTGTCCCTAGCTCCACAATCTGTTGCTCTCAGCAGTCACACTTTTTAAATTAATTTATTTATTTACTTGACCACAGTCTTCTTATTTATTATTCATATACAACCGTTGTGGTCCAGTGGTTAGCACGTTAGATTACAACGTCGTCGACCCGGGTTTGATCCTCGTCTGAGTATGTTATTATTTTCATTTTTATTGTTGAGACGTATAATACTGTTTGGGTTGTTGAACATTTGAAGTTCTAAAGCAGCTGTTTTCTCAAAAAAAGACGTGATAGTGTCATTAGAAACTGAATTGGAAATGACCTTATTTTAATATAGTCAGTCGAGAACTGAGGTGGGCCGGTCTGAGGCTTGAAACTCCAGGGCTGAAAAGGAGTCCCACTTCAGCCCTGAATGCACACACACATATGCTTCCAGCCAATCACATGACTGCACACATTCAAATGCAGTGTTTACCTTGCTATCAGTATTCCCTGGTACTCCACAAGCTGTCTCATGAATGATGGGTTGGGTTTGGTGACGGCTCGCCGCTCTTTTACGTACTCAAAGGCCTGCTCCATGTCCCAGCCGTACTCCTTCATGGCGTATGCGATAACAGTGGAGGCCGAACGACTAACACCCATCTTGCAGTGCACAAGACACTTCGCTCCGGCTTTTCTGGAGGAATCAGATTAGTCTTGTGTTAAAAGATGGACATAGTGCTAATAGTTTCAACATGGTATTTGTTGAAGAAGCACAAGAAAAAGATAGGTAAACAATCTGAATTAAGACTTTATCTGAAATTAAGAGAAAGAGATAAAGAGAGACTGAAATTACATTTTGTTTATATATTATGTTATTATTTCTGACTGAAAAATGTTCACACTTTCAAAAAATGCACTGTACAATTAAATAAAACCTATATGGTTGTCAAGACTGAAGTGAATTGTGAAATTTGGGACATTTACATTTGCAAACACTGCGTTCGATTTCAATTTAACACCAATTTCTTGCTTTTGCAGCAGCGCTGAGCCTCTGTAGCCAATCAAATGTGAGCATATGAATGCCGTAACCAATCAGAGGTGTCTAGATTAGTCGTTGCTCGATAGGCTGGAGCTTTGTTGCCCTTCTGAAGGCAATAAAAGTAAATTAATCAATCAATCAATTCGCCTAAATATTGACTTTCAAACAAATAAAAAAATCTGACACTGCTGTATATTGAACTATTCTTGTATTTTATGTCACCCTGGACCACAAAGCTAGTCAAAAATGTTAATTTTTAGATGTTGAGATTGATAGAGGTGAATGAAAAAGCTGTTGTACATTGTTGTATAATTTACACTATGACAATATTTGGTCGAGTTACAACTATTTAAGTGTTAGGAACCTGAATAAAAAATAAATTTAATAAAAATAATTTAACTACAGAGAAAATTGTCTTTAAAGTTGTCTAAAGGAAGTGATTAGCAATGCACTTTACTAATAAACAATTGATTTTTTGATGGTATATTTACAGTAGGACATTCACAAAAAAATCTTAATGGTACATGATATTTAATTAATATTTGAATAATTTGTAGCCTAAAGAAAAATATACAGTTAAAGAAGTCAGAACTATTAGCCCCTCTTTGATTTTTTTTCCCGTTTTTAAATATTTCCCAAAGTGATTTTTAACAGTCAGGGAAATTTTACAGTATGTCTGATAATATTTAAATATTTAAAAATCATATCAAGGTCAAAATTATTAGCCCTTTTAAGCTATTTTTTTCTCGATAGTCTACAGAACAAAACTATCCTTATACAAAAACTTGCCTAATTACCCTAACCTACCTAGTTAACCTAATTAACCTAGTTAAGCCTTTCAGACCTTCAGCTAATCGGTTATTAGAAATGAGTTATTAAAACTATTTGCTGCGTCCCAATCCACATACTATCCATCCTAAATAGTATTTGAAAATAGAATTAGTGCGTCCCAAACCATAGTATGTTGAAAAGAGTATGCCAGAGGTTCCTGGATGATTTGCTATTTCTAGTAAAAAAATTGACTCTAACCGCTGATACTAACAAACAATCTATAAACTTTTTGGGGTCCCCCAACACATTTTCGTTGTGGTCTGTGCTATTTGCAGTGCATTTCTGTATTTGCCTGTGTTGTATTTTCATGCATAACAATCTATAAATACAACCAAGAAAAGATACAGTTGAAATAAAGTGTTTTTTTTTATTTCCCGAGTCTAACAGTATTCAAGTACAACAACTAAATGATAAAAATAAAAATAATTTAATAAATTAATCATAGTCAAGGACACAAATGGTACAATTTCTAATACCCGAATGCTTTTAAATTCATCATACGATCACAGGCATCAAAAACACATGCAAATAATGATAAATTATAATACAAACACAACATTTTGTGTATGAATTTGCTCTTCAGTGACTCTCAGTAATGATTTTAAACCACACTGAACTGAGCTAAACTGAATTTAAACACTAAAAACTGAACTACTCTGTTCCAGTTACTATGACCATTTATGTGAAGCTGCTTTGACACAATCTACATTGTAAAAGCGCTATACAAATAAAGCTGAATTGAACTGAAACTATTGCAAATGATCATATTGAGATATCGATGCTGAAACGACATATATAATGCAGCCCTAGTCAGAATTATTTTAATGTTTTGAAATATTGTATTAATATCTAAAACGAAAATACTCTTAACAATTGTACAGGTGTTGATCAATTCTATTATATCACTTTCAAACTTACAGACCAGAATTTAAATATTGCTTCATCTGTTAAATTTATACAGTATTAAATTATTTTTCTGCAATTAACACCAAATCAATAAATTTGCCATAATGAACGCTACAAAAATGATTTAAAGTAGACCCTCACATATGTTATCTCACAGCTATGCTAATTCTGACATAACAAATGCAGAATACATAGTCAGAAAATTTCAGTACAGCATATTTTTACTCACTTGGCCCTAGAAATGAACTTGTAAGTGTCATTCCAGTAAGCCAGCAAGTCTGTGGCTTCTTCATCGTAAACCCGGATATTGTGGTATTCAAATAGCCCTGGAAAGAAGTTATCGATCTCCCGCGTCACATTAAGGATATATTGCACCCTGATGGTAAACACAAAGACATAACCGAAAACCAGAATAATCATTAACAACAAGAACAGACTTCAAAGAGAGCATAAAGATAACACAGGTTTATGACTGAAACAGTCTGGAAATCTGGCTTCAACTGCAGGTATTATTGGTATGTGTGTGCTTTTTTTCATAAACAAGGATGTCAAAATGTACCCGGTGTTTTGCAGTTCTTCCAGATTTGATGCATTCCATTCAGAACCCTGTAATTAGATACAATTGAAAAATGACTGATGGTGCATCTTATAACTGATATGTATGATTAAAACGTAAAGGAGACGTCGCTCTCACCAGGTAAACATGCTCAAAAATCTTTGTGGGCCTGTCCATCTGCCCCAAGATGACGATCATCTCGTTATCGATGTACTCCTTGAACTCCCGAAGGTTACACACCATCTGCATCTCCAGCTCTGTGCGGATCTAAACAGAAGGTGCAGCGTGATGTACAATACGAAAGTCTGTACAGAATAAACCTGTAGTCATTCAGAAAGTGATTTTTAGGATGAATATTAGCATCCTACATCTTTTGAAGTGACATTTTCAAGATCCTTTAGCATCATGATCTCTCTTAATCGAGTCTTGATGAATCTCTCTGTTCTTTCCCGCTCAGTTGGCCTGAAAAAATAAAGTAGACGTTTGTTTTTAAAAGTCACATATACAGTATCTTAATTCTCTATACGCACCAAGCAATTTAAGTAGGGATGCTCCGATCAGGAATTTTGCAGCCGATACAGAGTATATATTCTTGGCATGGTGATCGGCCGCTACCGAATAGCGATTCTTATGCTTCAAGCTTTATAACGCATAAAGCACATTTTCCCAGTATGATACTTAAGTGGAGATCTATCCTTAACTAAGAGAATAAATTAGGGATGTTGCAAATCATCTCCTAAACGTGTCTCTTTATAACAGTTTAGTGTGGACATGTAATGGTCAAAAGCATCTTTACAGAGAATAATAGTGAAGGATTCAGATTTCTGCTTTCCAATCCGTCTCATCATGGACCAAAGTTTATCCTTTTCATCATCCTGTTTCTCAGTATTTAACTGTGAATTGATTTTAATTAATGAATAAGTTAACACATTGTTTAATATAAGAATGTTCAGTGCATTTGCCTGTCTCTTTATAACTATTTTCAGAAGCCATCACTCTAGGTCAGAGGTCACGGAGACCTTGAGTGGAACTGAGGGCTGAGGACTGGAATCAACTGTTTCTATTGTTATTTCTAGTAGTTATTACTATCTAAAATGTCTAAAGTGATTTTGTTATTTTAACGGTTAATTCTTTTAATGTGATTCTACTTTTATTCAAGATGGACTTTTTATAGTAAGAATATAACTGCCTGAATGTAGATTATACCGGTTTTTAACCAGTTTTGATAAAGACGGCTGAGAGTACACTCAGCCTTGAATAAGAAACAGATTATACTTTAAGTGTGTGTGTTTTATTTGATTGTTGATCCGTTTCACAGGTCTGGAGTCAGCTCTAATCAGTCTAAGGGATGTCTGACGTTTATGCTTAAGATAGTGTTCAGAATTGTACGCACGAACCCCATGTGGAAATTTTCCTAGTCTATCTGTGTTTTAACCAATCAGGTTAGAACACCTACAGTATATGACGCAGTTAATGACGTTATGTGAGAGTATAATTGTTATTGATTGGTGATTGTAAGCAGAGCAGCCTAGGAACTCATTGCGAGTGTTGAAGCTGGCTTCTGTTGATGTAACTGCAAACTATCTTCAGTAAACTTGATTTATTTATTTAAATCTCTGACTATGGCTCTTCTTCATCTACCAGACTGGTCATTCTTTGGGTTAAACTGTAAACTATCCCTACAATAGATGAAACAGATTTGCAAAAGATGCTAAGAAAAATGACTAACAATGCAATTTAGAAACATTGCAAATGATCGAAGAATTCAACATGTCTCCTTGAAGAAAACATTTGGAGTGCATATTTGATGCTTAAGGAGTTGAAATGCACACCTATAAATCCATTACTTCTTTACTAAAAGGAAAGAGGCCTTTAAACTACTGTTATATGCAATGGTCACACTTTACAATAAGGTTCATTAGTTAATGTATTTACTATTGTGTATTTATTATTAATGTATTTAACATGAACTCATTATAAAAGGTACTTGTACAACCTTTATTAATCATAGTTCAACATTAACTAATGCCTTAATAACATCCAAAACCATGCTTGCTACCATTAGTTAATGCACAATGAGTTAACGCGAACATTGAACAACTGTATTTTCATTTACTAATGTTAACTAACATGAACAAATACTGTAGTAATAATAATAATAATAATAATAATAACTCCTTACATTTATATAGCGTTTTTCTGGGCATTTAAAGCGCTTTACACATATAGGGGGGGAAACTCCTCATCCACCACCAGTGTGCAGCATCCACCTGGATGACATGACAGCAGCCATTTTGCGCTAGACCGCACTCCACACACTAGCTGATTGGTGGGAAGGAGACAGAGTGATTAAGCCAATTATGATATGGGTAGGATTAGGAGGCCATGATGGACAGAGGCCAGTGGGCAAATTTGGCCAGGATGCCAGGGTCAAACCTCTACTCTTTTTCGAAGTACATCCTGGGATTTTTAATGACCACAGAGAGTCGGGACCTTGGTTTAACGTCTCATCCAAAAGACGGCGCTCACTGAGCAGTATAGAGTCCCCGTCACTATACTGGGGCATTATGACCCACACAGACCGCAGGTTGGGCGCCCCCTGCTGTCCTCACTAACACCACTTCCGGCAGCAACCTAGTTTTCCCTTGTAGTCTCCCATCCAGGTACTGATCAGGCACAGCCCTGCTTAGCTTCAATGGGCGACATTATGAGAGTTGCAGACAGCTAGATGCCGGTAAATGTATTGTTCATTATTTGTTCATGTTAGCAAATGCATTATCCAACATTACCTAATAAAACCTTATTGTAAAGCGTTACCAATTGAAAATAGTATATTACAAGAAAATACATTATTAAAAATTCAAGTTAAAAATAAATATATATTTATAATATAAATATATACATTATTGTTTCTCGCCAGGTTTAAGTGAACTTGCAATATTGTCAAAAACACAGAACTTTCAGTTCTTTGATATGTCAAAAGGCCTAAATACATGTAAGGCCATTCCAATATGTTGCCCATCTCCAACTATCAGCAGATCCAGAGAGCCTCACAGCAGCTTGATGATCGCTCATGCCCCCAAACATCATTTACCTCCTCAACTGTTGTAGTGCACTGCTGATGAGCACATGTGCATCTTCCTTTGTTTGTAAACTCATAAACAAACACGTTCATGGTTCAAGAGATTGTGCAGATTGGGCAAGTACCGATCGAGCCATGAAATGTGATTGAAGGCCGGTACCGAACTTCGGCCGATAGATCAGAGCATCCCTATATTTAAGCATACAGTAGATAAAACATGACTAAATTTGGGTCGTCAATGGAAAAAAGACCGCTAAGAATAGAATCATCACCGAATACACCGATTAGATAGACTTCACATATATGGTCATTTATTCCTGTGCATATCATAACTAGCCAATTTTTGTTCCATTCTTATACGTCTATTAGATTTTCACAGACAGCCCAAATTTAGCCTTGTTTTAGGCAAGACGTTTTAGATTCTTTTGAACACAAAAATGCTTGCAGGGATATATTCTGAAATCCTGGGAAAATGTATCTTACAAATTAATGTAATGTAATGTAATGTGTAATGGCCATACACCCAAAGCGCTTCCAAGCATGAGGGGGGTCTCTCCACACCACCACCAGTGTGCAGCATCCACTTGGATGATGCCACGGCTGCCACAGGACAACAGCGCCAGTGCGCTCACCACACACCAGCTATTGGTGGAGTGGAGAGGCAGTGATAGAGCCAATTCGGTGGAAGGGGATGATTGGGAGGCCATGATCGTAAGGGCCGATAGAGGGACTTTGGCCAGGACACCAGGGTTACACCCTTGCTCTTTACGAGAAGTGCCATGGAATTTTTAATGACCACTGAGAGTCAGGACCTCGGTTTAACGTCTCATCCGAAAGACGGCGCCCACTGACAGTGTAGTGTCCCCTTCACTTTTACTGGGGCATTAGGACTCACACAGACCACAGGTTGAGCGCCCCCTGCTGGCCTCACTAACACCACTTCCAACAGCAACCTAATTAATTCTACTAGGCTGTTGCATGTTATTGCAAAACATGACAGACAGCTAAATTGGTTCCAGAGAGCTATCCATTATAGTTCATATCACTAAACTGAACTAATTCAATTATCTCAAAGCCTACTATAGTACAAAAAAACAAATAAATAAAAAAAAATGTTAAAATAAAAACAAAAGGTTTTGAATGAGTTGTGTAGGAAACTAGCACTACACACAAGTGCTGTTTGAGAACAAAACCCTGACAAATATTGTGAAATATAAAATCTGAACAGTGCCTTTAGGTGTGGTAACCATAGTATAAACAGAATAATTCACTCTGGTCCATTGAATTATTAGAAAATAAAGCACACTCTAGGTGTAATGGCCATAATTCACTGCCTCAGAAGTGTTTAATTGTTGTTGTTGTAATTATTTAATAGCTCATCATCAATCATTCCTCACATAACACCCATTTAGCATCCATGATGTACCAAAACTCACACATCAGAGAAGAGCACAGGTGAGTCTGCACGGTGGGACTGCACGTCCTGCATGGCGTTCCACTCGTTGATGCGGGCCTGATCTGAGGACACCCGGCTCTGGTAGTAACTCACCCAGGTCAGGAAGAGGCTGCCCGGGAAGTAGTTATGACAGCGGGCCACTTCACAGGCCTTATGAAGCGACTGCAAGGCAGACCTGAGAGAAAGAAAACACATGCCACTATATCAGCCATATCAATCCCAAAATTAACCATTGGTACAATATTTCTTTCATTATTTCCTTGGTACAATATCAGCTTTTGGTACCTCAGATATTGAATTAAAACCTTAGGCAATAAATTAACAGTGTAAGGATGACCGATAAAATATAAAACTAGGGTGAATTGGCAGTAGTATTTTACTAAACATCTGCACTATATTTACACTTCAATGGATTAACCTGCAAGTGAATTCTCTAATATTTAATGTGCTTAAATAAATTTGTCATGAAAGCAATATTTTTATTACAGTCACCATTTAAAGGACATATTTAAGTTTGTTTATTTATTAACGGCAATGTTTGAACAGCTCGTAATGGCTGCAGTTCCTCTAATGGCCAGTGGAGTCAGAAAAACACAGGGTTTCGGCATTTTACAAATGACAACATTCAATTTTATTTATTTCATTCACTCATTCACAGCGAAATGAACCGCCAACTTATTCAGCACATGTTTTACGCAGCTGATGCCCATCCAGCTAAAACCCATCTCTGGGAAACATCCATACACGTCCAATTCACCTGTACCGCATGTCTTTGGACTGTGGGGGAAAACCGGAACACCCGGAGGAAATCCACACGAACACGCAAACTCCACACAGAAACGCCAACTGAGCCAGCTGAGGCTCGAACCAGCGACCTTCTTGCTGTGAGGCGACAGCACTACCTACTGCGCCACCGCATCACCATTTTATTTATTTATTTGTAAAAATTCTAATTAAAATAGTAAATTTTAGTAAATGTGATTAATTACTGATTATAAAATAAACATATTCTGGTTACAATGGTTCCATTAAAAAATCACTTCAGCGCATCAATAGATAAAAATTGAAGCCGGGATGATGAATCAATGTCTTGCCATATGTGGATAGATTCTTACATGGCTACATTCATTCTTCCGTGGCGGGGCGCCACGCCAAAATTCATCCCGCCACGGCTACATTACAGCTTCTCATTCAAAACATTTAATTTTTTTAATAGCTGGTAATAATCGCACCAAAACGTATTAAAGGGTAAGTGAATTATAATAGCGCAAACTTTTCTGTAACCCAAGTAGTGCTGTGCGTCATTTAGAGTGTGCGTCATCAACCTTTAAGGTGACGTACTGACTGACTGACTGGTTGACAGGTGCGTGATGCGTGATGCCATCAAACATGACGTATAACCGTTTCACTTTACTTCAGGATGCATAAATGCTACTCTGTAGGACTATTGTAGACATTCATAAATATTCCAAGCAAATCTAATAAATGCTTTAGACATATTCGATACATAAACGCACTAAATTGCACCCAGCAGCGTTTGTTTGAGAGCGCACATGAAGATCTGCGCGCTCTTGAAGTGGCTTATATTTGGGGTGGCGTGCAAGAAGTTTTGTGCACGAGCAGAGGAAATCGGCGCGCAGGCACAGAGATTTGCACGCTCGTAGGCTATTACATAAATACGATCCCGACTTCTAATACTGCGCTCATGACATTTGTCATTGAAATAATAACGCCACAGGTAGTCAGTAGATCCGTGTAAAAAAAAAAAAAAAAAAGGCCTGCCGCCACAGCTGGAAAAAATCCTAGAGGAAAGACTGTCTTAGATTTTCAAAATGCATGTAATACTCTCTTAAATCAATTCTGAGCTTCATTTAAATCAGCAGATGACACTCTGGACAAGTTTTTAACCATTCCCTTAAATGCTTATAAAGAAGAGCACTTGTGACTCATATATAGTGGCCAGATGTACTTGCACCTCTGCTTCTGTTCCACAGGATTAATGCAAACAGCTCTCTATGGAGACTTTTAAAACTTTGCTAATTTCATCAATGATTATTTTAGCTTCAAAGAGTATATGTAAAAATTGGCAGAGTTTGACTACAGCATATATTGCTGGTTATAAAAACTAAGCTCAAAATCAATTCAGAAAGAATCGCAATGCATTTGGAAAGTCTCAGAATGAACGCAGAACTGATTCTTGATTCACAATGTGTCTATTTATTGCCCCAACCCTAATAAACAGAAAAAAATGCACCCACCACATGGCTTGAACTGACACTGGCTTGAATATGTGTATTTTGTTATCTGTAGACACACTGAAGCCCCTGTGAATAAAAAACAGACCGAAAAGTTTCATTGAACTACCAGCAGGACAAACAGATGTATTTTTGTCAGTTATACATATCTGTCACACCTACCCGTCACCATCCAGATGGATCCGTGTGTCACTCCACAAGGGAAGCACCATGCCTATGGAACAGGAACTGCAACACGCACAAATTGTACTTGTTGTATTTATATTATAATTGATTGGTTTGAATGAACAGTACAAGCAGCAGCACACACAAACCTGTCGGAGGGGCTGAAGTCCATTCCCAGCACCACACTCTCTTCTGTGTCCTGCCTGCCATTAGTGGAGACCACCACCATGTAGCGGGTGCACTGGGGAAAGGTGCTCTCCAACCGCACAGCCTGAAGTTAAGAGTAGAGCATTAGTACACAACAACATAGCACACTGTAAAACAAACAATGACATTAAGTAAAGGTCCTGTGACGTGCCATGAAGTTCATTTTTTTATGATGTGTGCGATTTGAACTGAAACATAAAGACAGGGTGGGACAGAGTTGCTCCTTCTCTTTAAAAATCGCAAATAGTGTTTTGTTTTTATCACAGCTCTTCGGGTTAGACTGGTTGAGATCAAGAACATAAAGTAAGAGCATTCTGAAGGGGCAAGGCATGGCATATGATATAGACTGGTCTATAGATCTGATTGGTCAAAAGATTTGATGAGAAATTGAAGTATTAAGTGACATAAACAAAACAAAAAAAAGTTGATTCATTTAGGTAAAAATGACAAACTGCAAGTTTTTGTATGTGTACAGGGAATCCGGAAAATATTCATAGCACTTCACTTTTTCAATCAAGTTGTAGTGGTGTAGTACAAAATAAAATTGACCAAATATGTTTAACACAAGAAGTTTCAACGAATATTTTGATTTTTAGGTTTTACAGTGTATCAATATACAAGACACGTTTGTTTAGCTTTATATATGACTTACACATTCCTTAACTTGAGTTTCACCATTGATGCAGAGAACACTGGGATTTTATTATTTGTAAGGATCATTGTGGCTGAAGTCAACTGAAACATTTTTCCAGTATTGGAGGTGTCCAAACCTATTCCTGAAGAGGCCACTGTTCAGCAGATTTGAGCTCCAAAACACTTCAGCTCGCTGCATTCACGTCATGTTAAATACATTTTACTTACAAGTTTTAAACACATGAATGCCACCACAAAGCTGTTTTCACGAATGGGGCACTCTACATTTCAGAGTTTTCAAGCTGGGTGTGTGTCTACAAAAACTTGACAAAATTGATGGATGCAAGTCTGTTGTTAAATGCACGTTTTTGCTGAAACTTATAGAACTGCATGTCTGTCCAGCTAAGAGAATTAAAAAGACGCAGCAAAAGTAAAACATAAATCGCAATACTTCTAGGTATTATTTATAAAAAATGAACTTTCTGAATGTGACACGTATAACAAAAACTTTTATACAGTACACGCCATCTTGTACCATCCTGAATGCACCAGACATCTATTAAAACTAGTTAACTTGTAGGAACGTAGGTTCCAGGAGCATCCCTCTTATTGCGTGATCATTTGCTAAGTCACTGACAACATAAAACTAATATTACTCTTGGCAGCACAATATTTGACAAATTTGTTATGAGTTATGCAATGTATAAGGGTGCTTTCACACCTGCCTTATTTAGTTCGATTGAATTGCACTAGAGTTCGTTTCACCTTTTGGTACGGTTCGTTTGGGCAGGTGAGAATGCAGCAATCGTACTCGAGTGCGCACCAAAAGCGGACCAAATAAGCGTACAGAGACCTGCTTGAAGAGGTGGTCTCGGTACGCTTTCAAACGAACCCTGGAGCGGTTCGTTTGTGGTGAGAATATGATTCGTACTAAACAGGTCCAACCGCAAAAAGTACTGCGCCTTTTGGACTAATTCAGCTGCCGTAGGCCGATACGCTGTGCATTATGGGATATGGAGGAAAAATATTTGTTGACTGTGCTTTACCAAGAGAGAAAGAGGAGGGGAAAACATTACCTGATGGATCGTTGGTAATATTTCCGCAAGATGACCATGTTGCAGTTTTGCTAAATTAATTCACGCCTCCTCCTGAAGTGACTTGCGATTTTCCCGCATGTGAATTCTGACCAATCAATAAGCAGTTTAGAAAATATGTTCAACAACATCTAGCCTATAAGAGATGTGGATTTTGTCAGATGACTGCATTCTGGTTCGTTTCAACTGGTTCGGACCAAAGCCAGCAGTGTGGTGTGAAAACGACCCAAAGACGGCAGAAGATGCAACAATGCAACATGCATTACCCTAGGTCCGGACCAAATGAAGCGAACTACAGATGTGAAAGCACCCTTAATGTCTGCGCTTTGAAGTAGCCACTGACACGTGCTAGAGAGAGATCATCTGTGTGCATGTATATAACATGGGCATATCTTATAGCTCATAGTAACATGTGTTAGCTACCTCATCACAAATATTTGCAAATTGGTTTATCAACATCAGATCACTGGTCAAAAACACACCAGTGTCCTTGAGATTAAATGTTGGATAGACAATTGAAGGCACTAGGTCACTAAGTTGCTATCATTAAGACTAATGTTTAAAGGCAACACAATTTTTTCAAACGGTGATCAAAACTGACTGGAATTACCTGTGTGTTTTATTCCACACCTTACAATTAGAAACAAGAATTTCAACAGACCATGGAGTACAAAAGTTTCTGATGAGTCTGAAGATATTGATTAACCCATACTGGTGTGTATTATTAGGGCAGCAGCTAAACTCTGCAGGACAAAAGCTCTACATGGACAAATTTGGACGCTCCATGTCTATAAAAACAGCCAGCTAGGTTTTGGTAGATTTATTTATTGTGTGTGTGTATGTCTCACCAAGCGGATGTTATCCTCGGGCCGCAGTAAAGTGAACATGGTCTGCAGGTGCTGCTGAAGGTCCCCTGCGCAAAATGAGTACAAATAGTTCATTAATTTGAAATATTTGTATAATGTTACGGCCGAGTTTGCATGTGCTGTCCAGTGGATGTCCATACCTGCATGTTTGCTGCGCTGTGCTGTGATTCTGGAGGAGCAGGACGAGGCAGCAGAGGAGCCATTCCCACGTGGAAGGAAAAGGGCGGCACCTTTGACTGTTAGGAAGCTCTCACTGATGCTGGAGACAGAGAAAAAGATAACATCTGAGACCTTGGCCTGTTTAACAAATGTCATGGATAATCAAATAATTAAAATGAAAAGCTCAAAATGTACTTAAACTTTCTTAATCTTAATTGCATATATGCGGGTCAGTGTTTGTGAATGTTTGTAAATGCTTTTATTTGTTTTATCATCTTGTCTGTGGATAATATATTGCTTTTTTAGAGTGGTTCAACTTTAATGTGATAATACAGTGGAGATTATATACAGAAAAGATTAAGAAGCAGAAAGAGTGGAGGGGAAGGATTGGCAGGCAAAGGATCGAGAACACTGTAGTGCTTTGTGTCAACAAACGACAAGACTTGAGTAAAAGGCACATATAAATAAAATGAATTGTTGTTGTTATTATTATTTTATTATTATTATTATTATTATTATTATTACAATTACTATTATTATTATTTTAAAAAGGCAGTAGGTGATGCCAAGTCCTTGCCATTATGCGTGACTGATTGAATCCTTCATTTAAAGGGTCATGATTTGACATGATTTGGGTAGGCTCAATTGTCCTTTGAGTGTGAATGAGTGTGTGTGGATGCTTCCCAGAGATGGGTTGCGGCTGGAAGGGCATCCGCTGCATAAATATGTGCTGGATAAGTTGGTGGTTCTTTCTGCTGTGGCGACCCCGGATTAACAAAGGGACTAAGCCGAAAAGGAAATAAATGAATGAAGTCAATGACCGTTTTTGAATATTCTTTAGTATATCTTCCTTTGTGTTCAACACAATCTTAAACAGGTTTGGAACATGGATGAGGTTGAGTAAATGACGACCGAATTCTCATTTTTGGGTGAACTATCCCTTTAAATGAAAATAACTCTAGGGGAGTTTGTCAAGGATGAAAAAAGAAGCTTAAACTAGTAGAGGGAACCTAATATATGTAGAGGAAAAGTCCAAATAAATGTTAAATCCTAATTAAATCATGAGAGTACATTTCCCAGGAGAAAGCTGATATAGACTCTGCCTGCACAGAGAAATCAGGTTGATGATTTTTAAATTAGCCATGAGACGAAAACATCAATCTTAACCGTGTCTATTATGTCAAAGAAACGCTGTGAATTCTGATGTGTTTCACATCCCGAGTGGAACATGAGACATTCAGTTCAGTAGGGGAATATGGGAGGACTTCTTTTTGAGGACATTAGCTCACACACCGAACTCTCTGTGCAGGACGCAAACAAGAACACTCTGTTCCCCATCACTGCGACAGCTGGGGGATCTGTGTGTGCGACTTTCTGTTCTTTGAATAATCCCATGCAACATATCGCCCTCCAATCAATGACATTCAAACTATGCAGACCGTAAAACAAGAGTGTGAATAGCAGAGAGAAGTGAGAGAGGAATGGATTTATATGGTTTGTGTTCGTGTGTGCATGTGTGCCTGCTGTTTTGAGTCATGTGCGCAACCATATGTCTTTTTATGAGGCTGTTATTGTAGGCTGGTTCAAAAGAAATGAGAATGAAGCATTATGGGAGTGTGTCCATGTGACTTGAGTATCTAAGGTCTGTCCAAGCTTTACAGTGATTTAAAAACGATTTGGGGCAAGTTTAAGCCAGCTCTTTTCATCAATGTGATCTGTTGTTTCAGCAGAACCTTTTAATTAAAGATGACTAGGTCAATAGAAAGAAGAAAGAAAAATACATGCATAGGACACCGTTGCTTCTTCTTTTGTAATCCACAGAAAATAGACGACATGAGGTTTGATGACTGTATTGTAGAGCTGGCTAAAATGAGAATCGCAATTTTTTTTTTGATTAAAATAAAGATCACGATTCTCTCACGATTCTGTAGATGTAAAATAAAGGTGTGGTAAAAACAAACATATGGCGACATCGATAATAATATTATGTGCAGGTCTACTGGTTTCTATCAATAATTATATTGTACTTCTAATCTGCTTGTTAAGTGTGACGTCACGCGGAGCAGCTTCCGGGTCCAAGCGCTCTTTTCAACTGTATGGGGAGACTCGTGAAATGGTAATAATAAACGTTTATAAAGCGATTTAATACTTTCGAAAGTCACGATCGCAATATATATGTCCATGCCTAATATCCGATGACCAGAAAGGGATTCATTGTTTTATGAATTGTTAAAATGTTGGTATTTGTGATGCAGCAAGCCCAGAGATTGTTGTGTACACTATGACTTTATGTAAAATTAACTTTAATGTGTGATAGGAATAAAAAGTGATCATAAACGAATGATTTTTCCACTCAAGTGAATGGCGGCTTGGACCCGGAAACAGTATTACATACGTCACAAACACGTCACCACTTGACAAGCGGATAATTCTTTTTTTTTTTTTTTTTAATACTTTATTTAGAAGGATTTTTTTTTTTTACATTTGCACAAAAAAAAAAAAGACAAACAATCAACAACAACAAAACAAAATATATAAACAAATATCCCCAACACTACTTTCCCTTTTGTGGCTTTAACAGAAGATTTACATAGCTAACAATCTGCAAACATAAAGTCCTCAAGATATACGATACACATAAAAAGTGAACAGTTCAGTGTGTGATAAAAGAAAGGTTCTGTATACCTTTATTACAAGCACTGCCATTGTGAAAGGCATTACAAGGTTACAGTGACATGAAAGAGGAATAAGAAAATATAAAAAAATAAAAATAAAAATAAAAAGGGGGGGGGGGGTTCTTTTGGGATTATGAGAGATTTTATATATCCTCCTGCTCCAAAAATTGTAAATGGTCAACGTATGTAAGAAAGGGAGGACAAGCGGATAATTCTGAAGTTGAATTATTATGTTTGAGATATATGCTTGCAATCTGTTATATTAGACAATTTTATTCACTGGTAAAATCAGACATTTGCCATTATCAGATTATATTCAACTATATAGGCTAGAGTAGTTATACTGACATTGTAAACATTTATTTTTATGTGCAACTCTAGGTTCGCTATGAAAGAAAAAACAGATCAAAAGCTTGTCCTAATGATAACTCTAAAATGCGATATGATCATTTAAATAAATTGCCCACTTTCGGTTTCATTTTGACTGCTAAGTGCTTGTTCATACTTCACGCGCGGCTCCCAAACGATCACTCTGTGCCACAAACTGAATATTATTTGCAACTGTATAACCAACATATGCAGGTTCCGTTCGCGCGCGCCCTCTCTGTGATACCAGCTCACGGTCAGCAGCTCATGTCACGTGTGATTTCCCGATCGCGAAAACATCATATTAAGACAAAAATAACATTTTTAGGTGAACTATACCTTATAAATACATTGTGACTCATTCAACATCATATGGAGGTGTCAATGTTACTGAGCAATAGGGGTGTCAAAATGAATTGTTTCTTCGGTGCACCGCGATGCAGACGCGGACAATAAGGTATCGGTTCAGTTTTTTTTTTTTCGTTTTTCTGCTCCGCTCAGCGTGAGCTCTCCCTGTTGCGAGGGCTTAAGTGTTTGCGTGTGTGCGTGTGTGCGTGCGTGCGCGCGTGCGTGTGTTTGTTTGTTTCTTTGGTGCTGTCTATGTTTGTGTATGTGTTTGAATGAGAGACAGTGTGGTACTGTTTGTTTATACAGACAGCTTGTTATAGCCTCCCCCCAAAATATAACACTGTATTGGAAAGCATCGTCAATGCACCGTGATGCACCGAGATATCGAATTGAACCGAATCGAAGGCATGATAATCGTAACCGTACCGAACTGTGAGACCAGTATAGGTTCACACTTCTACTGAGCAACGTGTGTGAAACAATAAAAAGACTCGTGCAGCCGCCTTTTCTTCTCTCCTGAACTATGATTGACAGAATCGTAGAAATGCTGGAATAAGATCGTCTAGGGCAGTGGTTCTCAAAGTGGGGGTCGGGACCCCCCGAGGGGTCGTGGGGCAATGAAGGGGGGTCGCCTGGTGATTTCCAAAAATCTATTTATTTTTATTAAACCATAAGAATTAACATATTTTATCCATAACTATACTGAAAATAAAAATAGTCGTTTATAGTTACTATATACTATATAGTTACTATAGTAGCTTATAGTTACAGTTCTATTGGATTGCGACCCCTGGGGTAATTACATTATATTAAAGGCAGCAATAGCGTCAGATTCATTTTGATTTTATAACATCAGGTTATACTTTCTGGCACATTTAAAGCACTGACACAAATTTAATTGGTGTGTCTGCGTCATTGCATGCAAGGTTTCTGTATTTATAACCACCTCAGAGGATATTGGGGGTCGCGAGTCACTGGCATTGTTATTTTGGGGGTCGCGGGCTGAAAATTTTGGGAACCCCTGGTCTAGGGGGTCGAATTTAACGGTTAATTGTGCAGCTCTACTGTATTGTAATTCTGGGGTGCTAAACATGCATTAAAAGATGAAAAGTTCTTCCTCTGCACCTTGGGAACAGCACTGTCCAAAAACTCGACTTGTGCATGAATCTGCAAAAATGTCTCTGTAATGTGTATGCCAGGCCAGGTGGCATACCAATGCCACTTCACGAAGAAACACTACATGTCAGCACACATACAGTTCTGTAGTTCGCCTTCACTATTTTGGTTGTCAACTATCAAGAAATTACACATGCCTACTGACTAAGGGGCTGATCACACTGAACGTCCTTTTTGCATTGAGACGCTTCCAAGGTATCCGCTACATTCATTCTTCTGTGGCAGGGCGCCACACCAGAATTCATCCCGCCATGGCTACATTACAGCTTCTTATTCAAAATATTCGATCGTCTTTTAAATAGCGGGTTAAAATCGCATAGAAAGCGTATTAAAAGGTAAGTGAATAATAACAGTGCAAACCTTTCTGTAACCGTAGTAGTGCTGTGCGTTCTGTTTAACCCTTTAAGGTGACGTGCTGACTGACTGACTGACAGGTGCGTGAGGCCAGCAAACACGGGGTAGCTTTCAGTTATGATGAACACAGTCTCCATAATTATACTTTATTTTTAGATAAAGGTCTGTGGCTCTGCATGTA